TCTAGAAGAAAAACAAACCATACCCCCCCTCTAGAGCTTTGAGTGTTTTCTTGAACTGTTTCCACATGCATTCTTCTTCCTCACTCGTTTTAAGGTTTTTCAAGCGATTATATACATGGTTGGGAGAAATTGACCTCGTGTATATTTTCCTTGCTATTTAGTAATTTGTCCTAGAGTTAGTGTAGTGTTCATGATAGAAATGATATAGAAACAAACATCATAACCTTCAAGCAGATATTTGACAGAGCTGATGTATTTCACTCTACCCTGCAAAAAAAAAAGAATGAAAATGATGGCAGCTTACTAAAGATCATGATGTTTTCATGCAAATTGTAATTTTTTTACCATGTGAGTCTGACATTTTTTGAAGTCTGCAGGTTGTTATGTACATTATCTGATGTTGCAATGTCTGCTAATAAAGAAAACGGTGGAATTTTCCTCACTTTTGCCTCACATTCTTTTCTTCAGAAATGATAAATTAATTCAAAGGATATAAATACAGTCCTGTGTCTTTCATAAACGTAGATTTGCATATAATGTTGTAGTTAGAATTATTATAGTATTTTTGGTCCCACTTTATATTGTGGCCTTAACTAATATGTACTTACATAGGAATTAATAGTTTGTTACAATGTACTTATTGTGTAAATACATGTATTTACTGTGTACTTATGCTTGATTTAATACATGTATGTACTTACTTCTGTAATTAACTTTTGTAATTACATTTGTAAATACACTGTTGACCATCCCTTACACCTTAACCCACCCTTAAACCTACCCATACCACCAAACCTGTCCATAACCCAACCTCTATCCCAACTCAAAAGCACCACAAGTGTTCTCAAATACATTATAAACACAGTAAGTACATTGTATTTATTTTTCTGATGTAAGTACATAGTAGTTAAGGATACTTAATATAAAGTGGGACCGTATTTTTTTCTGTTTAATGGAGAAAAGCTTTTTTTAACACATTTCTAAACATAAAAGATTTAATAACTCATCACTAATAACTGATTTATTTTATCTTTGCTATGATGACAGTAAATAATATTTGACTATTTTTCAAGACACTTCTATACAGCTTAAAGTTACATTTAAAAGCTTAATTGGGTTAATTAGGCAGGTTTTGGTAATTAGGCAAGTTATCATATAACAATGGTTTGTTCTGTAGACTATCGAGAGAAAAAAAATAGCCTAAAGGGGCTAATAATTTTGTCCTTAAAATGGTGTTTAAAAAATTAAAAACTGCTGTTATTTTTGGCAAAATAAAACAAAATAGACTTTTTTTCTGAAGAAAAAATATTATCAGACATACTGTGAAAATTTCCTTCCTCTGTTAAACATCATTTGGGAAATATTTAACAAAGAAAAACAAATTGAAAGGGGGCTAATAATTCTGACTTCAACTGTATATAACTCTGAACAATATAAAGAGACATTTCTTGATAATTAATCTGGAAGTGGGCTGACACGGTGGCTCAGTGGTTAGCACTGTTGCCTCACAGCAAGACAGTTGCTGGTTCCTGCTCCGGCTGGGTCAGTTGGCATTTCTGTGTGGAGTTTGCATATTCTCCTTGTGTTGGTATGGGTTTCCCCTACAGTCCAAAGATATTAGCTATAGGTTAATTGAATAAACTAATTTGGCTGTAGTGTATGGGTGTTTCCTACTACTGGGTTGCAGCTGGAATCCATTGTGTAAAACATATGCTGGATAAGTTGGTGGTTCATTCCGCTGTGGCGGCCCCTAATGAATAAAGGGACTAAGTCGAAGGAAAATGAATGAATAATCTGGAAGTCCTTGTTGACCTTGGAGTGCGTCAGGAGATCAGTGGTTCTAAAGCACAGTAACTGGGGGAGGGGCAGACAGGAGCCACTCGTGTTATCAGGGGTCACACTTTAGCATATACATTATTCAGAATGATTTCATTGTCATTCATTTCATTTATCAATACAATTCAAGACGTAAGCTCATACACATATTACATATTCTACATTCTGATAAAAATTCAATTTAGCAAGCCAGTAAAACAAGTGGTTCTATAAGTGGCATTATTATTATTATTAAAGTAATTAATATCTCTTTCCTCTAAGCTTGCATAATCATGATTACTTCAAGGTGGCACTGTGGTTCAGTGGTTAGCACTGTTGCCTCACAGCAAGAAGGTCACTGGTTCGACTCCAGTTGGTATTTCTGTGTGGAGTTTGCATGTTCTCCCTGTGTTGATTTCCTCCTGGTGCTTCGTTTCCCCCCACAGTCTAAAAACATGCAATATAGATGAATTGTATAATTAATTGCCAGTAGTATATGATTGTGTGTGAATAGGTGAGTATTACTGTGTTGTGGCTGGAAGGGCCAACCTTTTCATTTTGTAACATTGACCCAAAGAAGAAAAAAAAAAAGAAAAAAATACATAGTACTGCAAAAAGAAAAAGAAAAAAACAACAACAACAACATAGTACTGCTATGTACTGCATGGTACTGCAAAAAGTTAGTTTATGTACTGTATGTGCTGTTTCCATGTTTGGATAGGTGTTACTGCAAATAATGACAAATATTTTAGCCAAAATCGGTTATCAATACCACACTTTAATCACTTAAAGTACCGGTAGGTACCGGGTTCGTGACGTCATCGACTTTCGCTTTCAGATTTAAAGGGCTAGCGTTGCACCAGACCCCCGTAAGTGGTGTCGTTTAAAAGAGTAGAATCTATATTTTATGCACATATGCATCACTTTGGTTTTTATACCACTGTACAAAAGTTATTTACACTTAAATACACAGTATTTTGGATACCCGAGCTAGGTATTTTACATTGGTTCATTTTCATATTTTTTTCATATAACACATGTACAAGTTATAGCTCAAATGAAAGCTCTTGCCGGTGCTCATACAGTTCTAGCATTCTTTTTACTGAATTATATTCATGTGTCAAACAGTTGTTGAATGAATTGTGGTGTTTCCATGGCACAGAAATGTAAACAATACATTCATGATCACTAAGCAGCCCCAGATAGCACAGACAGCTGTCATCTCTTACCTTATGCTGAGCGCTTCAGGGCCATTCTCCTCTGTTTTTGAGGTGATGTGCATAAGTAATCCTTTTATATGTCTGATGTGGTCCAAACACAGTGAATTATGTTTGATCAAACAAAAGAATAGTGAAATATGAAAACAAGGATTGGTCTCTGTGGCTTGTACAGCACCTACCATCAGTTGGAATGGAATAACTTTTGCATAGATTATGGTAGAGACATTTTTCTTTTTTAATATCATTACAGATATGTGCAGGAATCAACAAAATTAATTACAGCACGCTAGGACACACAGAACCTAAAAGGTACACTTTCAAATTTGAGTTTATTAAAAAAAAAAAAAAAAAGCGCCTCTTTTTTTAGGTGTTTATTAAAACACAGACAACATATACAGTTATTTTAAACACTTTCAATAGTGTTTTATGAAAATTCAAAGGGTTTTCTTTAAAATGATACCAAATTTTTGCATTTACACCTCTGCATGTGGATTTGGGAAGCTTTTAAATTTGGGAAGGCAAAACCTAGGCGGAAATCCCCAAATAGCAGCAGAGTTTAAGTGGTTAAAGGAGTGGTTCTCCTCTCTTTCACGCTATTGGGTCTGTGATTGGGGATGTGGTCCCCGCTGCAGTATGCATCCCTTATTTTTTTGTATTGAAAGTGGTAACCCTAGAGCCATACTAAATCACACATTCCAAATAAAAACTGAAAAATTGAGCATTTAGAATAAAATATTCTATTAATTGCAAATTAAAAATTGAAAAGCTATAGAGAATCTCTTATTTTGGATGTAAAATTTGGATTTTTAAATAATTTAAAACTAAAGAGGTTTTTTTAGTCCAAATATCTAAAAATTCTTAAATCAAGAAGCATTTTATTGACAAGCAAAAAAATAAATTCTTGTTTTAAGAAATAATATGCTAAAATTGAGTGTGTTTTTCCTTAAAGCAAGCGAAATAATCTGCCAATGTGGTAAGCAAAATAATCTTGATTTTCTTTGTGACGAGATTATTTTATCTCATTGCCAAATCATTTTATCCCACAAACATTCAATCATTCATTTTCTTTTCGGCTTAGTCCCTTTGTTAATCCGGGGTCGCCACAGAGGAATGTATCTTCCAACTGATCCAGCATGTTTTTATGCAGCGGATGCCCTTCCAGCTGCAACCCATCTGTGGGAAACATCCACACACACTCATCCACAATCATGCACTACGAACAATTTAGCCTAGCCAATTCACCTGTACCACATGTCTTTGGACTGTGAGGGAAACCCGGAGGAAACCCGCGCAAACGCAGGGAGAACATGCAAACTCCACACAGAAACGCCAACTGAGCCGAGGCTCGAACCAGCGACCCAGCAACCTTCTTGCTGTGAGGCGACAGCACTACCTACTGCGCCACTGCGTCACCATCCTACAAACATCACAAATGTAATGGAAAACTAGTATGGCCAATGTGCCAACACAGAGTGCTGAAACTTTCTGTGCATATTCATTATCCTAAATGATAAAAGCTCAACATCAAAATACGCTGATGTATCAAGCCACAGACTTATAAAAATGAAGCAGATGTAAAGCAGTGGTAAAAACAATGACACTGTTGTTCTACCAGATGGATTAAAGTAGCAGAAGTTTCCTGAATACCAAAGCCCAACCCTTTCAAATGAACTATAATGTACATAACCAATGTCCAAGGTCCACTGTGATAAGAACACTTCACCTAATGTAAAAAACCACCTAGTAGGTATCTGATTACGGACGATTGAGTGTTTGCCTGAAGCGATGAAATCGAAGTTGGGGTTTAGAGCAACTGGTGAACATGGCCGTTCATGTATTTGGCTGACAGTATTAACTTTCCAGTGCTGCTTCCAGCTGTCAGCCGCTGCTGCCACCTTTTTTTACTGGACTGCAGATGTTGGCTTGAGTTACTTCGACAGAGAGTCTAATGAAACGGTGATCAGTATGTGTGAATGTGGCAAGTTTGGAATAAACTCACCCTTGAGGTCAGCTTCTGGGTTAGCGGTGCTTCCAAATTCGGATCCTCTGGCATGCTCGAAGAACACTACTTTCACTGCAAGTCACCAGCCATGGATTGCCCTGATAAAAACTGGAAAATGCTCCTACACTAAGAAGATCAATTCGGCCCAGCGAGAAGGAGCCTCTGCTGTGGTTATTTACAATGAGGACGGGACAGGCAATGACGTTATACTTATGATGTATTCAGGTATGAAACTTTCTTTACTTGACAAAACACGTCAGTTTGTTTTGAATCAACTTTAGAAATAAATTGAGTTCTGGAGTGCCTTAATGGCACACAGCGGCTATTTGTGACAAGATAACAACTCCATAATGCATTAGATAACTGAATTAATACCAATGCTAAACAGTTTGAGATGTCGTTCTCTATTGTGTTGTAAAATGTCTCAGACGATCACGTTCTCTCACAAAACACGTGTTAGCAAAACTGAACTGTCGCCATTGTTGTAAAAACCGGAACAAGAGAGATGAACTTTTAGCTGAAAAAAATTCAGAATGCACTGTAATCAAATTTTCTTAAGACACGAATTCTTAAAGTGAGAAACAGAGGGAATTTTTCACATCAATGCTCGTGTCACGCTTCTTCAGGCACCAGAATATGAGTTATATATACAGCCAAGCCTGAAATTATTCATACCCCTGGAAAATACTGACTCAAAGTCTTTGTTAAAATGTAAATAAAAATTTAGATTGTTTTTTTTTTCCCCACAATGTTGCCTCTTGTTCATCGTCTTATTTTCTTTTGGCAGAAGTCGGTGTCATTTCCGGTCAAAAAAAAATGTTGGTTGAACAGAAGTAATTTTAAGTAAAAATTTATGGGTAATGAATAATTTCGGGCTTGACTGTGTGCTCTTCACACTAAGAAAAAACTGTTCACTGATTGGTTCTTTTTGGAACCAACAATTTTTTTTTTTTTTTATGGAAACATTGTAAAAAAACATAGTTTTTAGGACTGTGAAATTAAATGACTGAATTAAGGGACTCAAAATGAAAATATTTCTTTGCGTTTTGGTCCTTTACTTCCACAAAACCAGACTGCATAGGTTACTTAGATATTGTGTTCGAAAACTGATTGCAATTTACATAACGAAAAATTTGTTAACATTTTCTAGATTAATTTGAGAATGTCACCAAATTTATCACATCAGTTTGATCTAAAATACATTGAGAAAGACAATAGATTCCATTCTATGCTATAAACAACAAATACATTGTTTTATTAAATCAAGGTAGATCAAATTGGGATTTTGCGAAGGAACTACATGGGGCTTTGAGTAGTTATGAAGAAATTTAATCGTACCAATGTAAAATTTAAATAAATAATTAATAATTATCATTGACTTCTGTTTTCTTCATTAGTTTCGAAAACATAGATTTCATTAAAATTTATAATGACATCGTTAGATTTGCTTTTTGCTGGGAATACTGTTCTCCTAAAAAAAACTAGATTAAAAAAAAAAAACGTAAATAAAAAATTCCTACACATACCTTAGGAATGGAATAGCAGAACATTTTGGCGGTTTTAAAATCTTGAGTTTTTTGAACCGCGGTAAAACGATTGAAAACAGTTATCGTCCCATGCCCATTTGTGAGTAGTTTTAAAGATATTCAATCTTAAAAATGTAAAATTAAAATAAATAATTGATAAAACACACAAAAATATTTACAGGAATGAACACTAACAAATCATGTGACTATCTGTGAATATGCAAATGTACTGTTAACTGACATATTAACTTTACTTATAATGTAAAGATTCATTTTAGAAAATTTGTCACCAAATTGATCACATAAATTTGATCTAAAATACATTGAGAAAGACAATAGATTCCAGTCTGTGCTATAAACAATAAATACATTGTTTTAAACTTTACATTACTTCAAGGTGGATCAACAGCATGTTTTTTTTACAATGGATGCCCTTCAAGCCGCAACCCATCTCTGGAAAACATCATTCACAAACACACTCATACACAACGGACAATTAAGCCTACCCAATTCACCTGTACCACATGTCTTTTAACTGTTCTGTTTCGACTGGGTTGATTGTTGTCGTGCGCGTACTGAAGGGGGGGGGGGGGGGGGGGTATCGCGGGGGCACTTTGGATCATTTTGGAAGGGCACTTTCTATCCAAGACTAAAAAGGGCATGTGCACTGCACAGGTTGAGCCCTATGTGTGCACGTGCCTGAATAGTGTTGTCTTGGTACTGAAATTTAAAAATTGTAATTTCCTGCTAACATTTAGGTGCCGTTGACCATGTCTTAAACACAGCTGATTTGCCATAGTATTCACCAGTGCTCAACAGAGACGACTGTGATTGGCCGTGAAGGTCATCAGTTCACCACTCTTCACCTAGAGCAAACCCAATTACAGGGACACTGGATCGATTTAAAGCCGCGAGGATCGGTCAAGTCATCTGCAGGTCGCTCCTCTGTGTTTGCACGTGGTAAACATTAGTGAAGTGCAGTGAACTGATTTTTTTTGTAAATTTCAGTACCGAAATTCAGTTAAGTTTGATAAATGGCTTCTAAAATGTGAAAGTGTTAGCTAACTAGTGCCATTTCCCTTAACTTAGCTGAATATTAGGTCCGACATCTCTTTATATTTTAACTCTCCATTCAGAACAGACCTTCAGGTCTCTCGAAATCTGTGAAATGATAAATGTGTGTCACCTTCTCTTCGCTGACAACATATACAGTCAGGTAAACAATAATACACCATCGCAGATATTTGTTGTCTGAGCAAAATGAAAAACATTTGTTTGGTCATGTAAATGTAGATGTATAGTGGATCTGACAAACTATTATGTTGAACGTAGGCATGGGACGATAACCGGTTTTAAGGTATACCGGGTTTTGAAAAGTCAAGGTTTTAATAAACGTTAAAAAGTTCAGTTATACCGTTCCTAGGGTATTTGTAAGTTTGTTTATTTGTGTTTTTTATGACTATTTTAAGTTTCTTTTAGGGCAACATTAAAAAAGGACCCTCCACATCCCAAGTTACTGGTCAGTCCATGATTCAGGAAACATCAGAAAAAGAAATCTTGAATAAACCAACATCCAGCATGCTGTAGAGCTGAATAGAGCAGAGACTTGCTTTATATCCAAAGTAAAGAAAGATACCCAAAGTTACCTTTTCAAGTTGAAAATAAATCTATGTTTTTGAAACTAATTGAGACAGCAGAAGTCCAGACTTATTTAAATTATTTAGCCTGACATTTATTGTTTCAAAATATTTTAAATATAAAAAAATAAACCATGTTTAAGGGGGGAAAACGTTTTTAACCCAGACATTTAAAAATAACTTATTTTTAGAGCAATAATTACAATACCGTTATATTGTGGAACCGTGATATTTTTACCTAAGATTATCATAACGTCAGAATCTTATACCAGCTCATGCCTAGTTGAACGGCAGAGGTTTTTGTGGCTATTAGTTAATCTGGGTTTTGTGGAAACATTTGTATGTCAAGTTTGTGAAGTAAAAGGATAAAATAGACCACTGAAATAACCTGGCTTTTCTATTTCATTGGCATCGTTTCTTATTAAATAAATATAATTCGGCAATTATTTCAAAATGTCCAAAACTGTTGATCAGCTTTTGTTATGAAAGTATTTAAAGTCAGAATTTTTATGTCATTAACCTTGACTGTTTATTGTTTAATACGCTTATGGCCCAGTAAAACTTTATGTGAGTTGGGTTTTACCTGAGACCATCAGAATGCATTTTATGACTCACTGTAAACTTGTTCCATAACGTGTTGCACCAAACCTGGTTTTCCTGACTTTTGTGAAATTTGCATAACATGGTTTTGTAACGAGTTATTATCTAGTCTCATGGCAGCTTCTTTTTGAAAATTGAACAACAGTATTTGTTTACATACAGTTGAAGTCAGAATTATTAGCCTCCCTGAACTATTCACCCCCCTCCAATTTCTGTTTAACGGAGAGAAGATTTTTTCAGCACATTTCTAAATATAATAGTTTTAATAACTCATTTCTAATAACTGATTTATTTTATCTTTGCCATGATGACAGTAAATAATATTTTACTAGATCTTTTTCAAGACACTTCTATACAGTTTAAAGTGACATTTAAAGGCTTAAATGGGTTAATTAGGTTAAATAGGCAGGTTAGGGTAATTAGGCAAGTTATTGTACAACGTTAGTTTGTTTTGTAGACTATCGGGGAAAAAAATTGCTTAAAGGGGCTAATAATTTTGACCTTAAAATGTTTTTAAAAAAAAATTAAAATTGCTTTTATTCAACCCAAAATAAAACAAATATTTTCTCCAGAAGAAAAAATATTATTAGACATACTGTGAGAATTTCCTTACTCTGTTAGACATAATTTAGGAAATTTTTAAAAAGGAAAAAAAATCAAAGGGGGACTAATAATTCTGACCAAAATATGTTTTGACCTATCAATGCATTTTAGCTGTAAATATAACCCAAGTTGCCCTGCTGATGAAGAATCACTGCAGCAATATATAAATCTGCACATCACATTTTTAAATAAAGTTTTCATTTGCTGTTATGTTCATCCCTTAAATCAACAATCATGGCTAATATACTATTTTATTTCAACAGGTGCTGATGATCTAGTTGCTATCAATATTGGCAATATTTTAGGCACACAGATTGCTTACCTGATCAACAATGGTTTGGATGTTAATATGACGATTAATGTAGCCACTCCAACTGGCGTGTGGAAGGGTACATGGGCATATGTGCTGTCTTTCACTTTCATTGGAATAACAGCCGTCACGATGTTCTACTTTGCATTCCTGTTTATGAAACGCATGTACATAAACCGACAACTTCGTAGGCAACAGGTAAAAGTTCACTTAAGCACTCTCAAACGTTTATCGTCTAATATAACATTAAATATTTGTCTTATTTTCTACAGTAAGAAATCTCATAAGTGATATTTTAATATTTATTCTGTTCTGTCATTCATTTCTGTGCAGATGGAGATAAAAAGAGAGACTGAAAAGGCAATTGGAAAGTTAGAAGTGCGGACTCTACGGACAAATGACCCGGTATACAGCTATTACAAAACAACAATAAAAGAACAAAGAAATAGCTCTTAAAAAATAAAAAATAAAAGCTTGCTTTATTTACTCAGATATAGATAACTTGACCTTTAGCTGAACTCGTGTTTCTTATTGATTCATAAAATGGGTGCTGTCATGGTGCACCTTAGATACTTTAGTAAACAAACACTAAAACATAAGACTGAAACTTAGTCAGTAAACATTTTAAACTGAAATAAAATAAAAAAAATGCACACTAATTGAAAACTAAAAGTAACTGAAACTAACAACAATCACCAAAAGACTAATTGAAATAAAATAATAATTAGCAAATTGAATTCATTCATTTTCTTTCTGGCTAAGTCCCTTTATCAATCTGGGGTCACCACAGCAGAATGAACCGTCAACTTATCCAGCATATGCTTTACCAACGGATGCCCTTCCAGTGGCAACCCATTGCTGGGAAACACCCATACGCTCTCATTCACACACATACACTAAGGAAAATTTTGCTTATCAAATTCACCTAAAGCGCATGTCTTTGGACTTGTGAGGGAAACTTGAGCACTCTGAGGAAACCCACGCAAACACGGGGAGAACATGCAAACTCCACACAGAAATGCCAACTGAGCCAGCCGAGGCTTGCATCAGTAACCTTCTTGCTGTGAGGCGAGAGTGCTGCCCACTGCACCACCACGCTGCCCTGCAAAATGAATAATTAAATTAAAATTATTAACATGTATGATTTGACCAGCCTGATCTCACGAGAAAACGTAAGTATTTTACGTTTTGCCAGTTTAGTGGCTAATTCGTACAAATTCGTACGAGTTCAGTCGTACGAAATGGTACGATTTTAAAAAGGAGGCGTGGCACCTGACCCCACCCCTAACCCCAACCATCATTGGGGGATAAGCAAATCGTACTAAATTGTACGAATTAGATCGTACGAATTCATACGAATTAGCCACTAAATGGAAAAGTTACGAATTGCCGTGAAATTGTGTTGGATTTGACCTGTGGCTGTTTAGAGAAGAACATGTAAATGGCACTTTTACCATAAAACAGACAAGACCTGTTAAAGTCGGCAAGAAACAGAAGTTAAGAAATATTGAGGGTGGTGAGAGCGTTGGTTATTCGCTATCAACACCCAGCAAAAAGCGTTTGTGTTTAATAGACATCTAAAAGACATCTAAACGTAGACAGCTTGGCTAAAACAAGGCTAATCTTGGGCTGTCAGTGAAAATCTAATAGATATTTAAGGATTGCCCAAAACTAGACTAGTCATCAAATAGACAGATTAGACAGACTTTATATGTGTAGTCATTAATTTCTGTTTAGATGAAGTTAGTTTTTTGCTTATTCTTAGAGATCTTTAAGATTTTCACATACTGCCCAAGTTTACCCTGGTTTTAGTCAAGATGACTGTTTTTTTGACCTCTATTGTGAATTTCATACGCTTGACATTATCCTGAATTTAGAAAAACTAATTATATAAAAACGAAATGGAAATATGTTCAGAAAATAAAAACTAAGCTAAAACTAACAAAACCATTAATGAAACAAACTGAAACTTACACTAGCTGGCCTCTATAACACTCACCCCCCCCTAATCTCACTCCCATCCGGGTCACGGCACCAATATATGGCACCCTCTCTGAGCTGGGATTGAACCAGTGACTTTCCGCATAGGAGTCAGCTGCAAGGAGGCTTGAGACCATGGCCTCTAGCGTCTGTTGCTAGAGCACCTTTTACAGGTCAGAGGACTGATGTTTTACCTGCACAGCACTTCACTAGCTGGCCTCCATTACACTTACCCCCTTTAACCTCACTCCCATCCGGGTCACGGCACCAATATAACCCCCCTGTTCTTACATCACCCAACCCGCTCTGAGCTGTGATTCAACCAGTGACTTTCCACATGGGAGTCGGTTGCACTAACAAGGAGGCTAAAGACCATGGACTCTAGCGTCTGTCACTAGAGCACCTTTTAGAGGTGAGAGGACTGAGGTTTCACCTGCACATCACTTCAATATCAGGCCTTCGTTACAAAAGGACACTGTTTGTTTTCAGAAAATAGAGATGGGAAAGAGGTTGGCGGGTGATGGGGGTTGGGTTGTTTGTTTGTTTTTACATGAAAAAAAAGTGTTTCTATAGATGATTTGTCAAGACCACTCAGCATTGCATGATGTTTAGAAGTTGTCCTGTGGAGGAGGAGGAGGTCCTGGTTTTGATCACAAGGTTTCAGGTGATTCCGGAAACATGGGTTTTTAGTTGTCGTTTGAAGACTACCCATGAATCCACAGTCTGTGTAAGAATGGGAAGACCATTCCACCACTGTGGAACATTGAATGAAAATGTTTTGGAAAGTCATTATTGCCTTTCGGTGATGGTACCACAAGGTGATGCTCATTCCCTGAAAGGAGGCTCCTGGAATGGAGACCTTCAGGAGCAGGTGGTAAGAAAGTGTGGTGCCAGTGGCTGTTCTGTAAGCAAGCTTCAATGATTTGAACTTGATACAAGCCTCTACTGGTAACTAATGCAGAGAGATAAGAGAGGTGTTACATGAATTATCTTGGGCTTAATAAAGACCAGGCAAGCTGGAGCATTCTAGATCATTTGTAGAGGTTTAAGGGTGCAAGATTGTAGTACAGCTAGAAATAGCATTTCTGTAGTCCAGACATGAAAAAGAGCTGTCACTTAAATATGTGCAGCATGACCTGTTAGGAAGAATTTGATTTTTCTGATGTTAAAAAGTGCAAACCTCCATGATCCAGCTGTGTTGGCAATTTGCTCTTTGACAGCTGATCATCCAGGATTACCACAAGATTCCTTACTGAATTGCATGGGGTAAAACTAGATGAAGGGAAAACAAGAAGTTCATTTTTGGCAACATTGAGCTAAAGGTGATAGGTCTTTCATCCAAGTCCAGATATATTGAAAGTAATGCTTAAGTGATCTGAAGTGAGCAATGGTTTAACTGTGACTTTACCAGAATTGCAATGTCTTGTCTAGATAAGATTTGTGTGTGATTGTGGTGGTAAGCTGCTTGAGGCTGAATAAAATTATGAGAGAATGGAAATCTGTAGCATAAGGTTTGTACAAGTGAATGCTGAAGTTATCTAATACTGTAACTTATAAAAGAAACAGCCAATTCTTCAGTAAATGCACCTAACTGACCAGAAGGATGGTAAATGAGCAGAAAGTCAAATTTAGCAAGAGAAGTGATACAGACTGACTGGTATTTAATATTATTGATAAAGTGAGTACAAATGGAGTATTTCCAATTATTCTCAGTATATTCCTCATTCATTAGAAATGAGAAACCCAGTCTTTCCTCCCCTTCCAATCAGGCGGGCAGTGTGGGTGAATGCAAAGTTTTTAGAGAGAGCAATTGCAGTAGGAGTCCTAGAGACGAATCCAGGTCTCAGACAAGGACAGGATGTTAAGATTAGATTATGATGCAAATGCTGGGATAAAGTCTGCTTTGTTGACAACTGACTGACAATTCCACAGACCATAAGGAAATGTGTATAGGGTGTAAGTTGTTGATGTTTCAGTGGCATCTGCGTGTGTTGTGTGTGCATGGAATTGTAATGACAGGAATGTTCTGCAAGCACATAGTGTGAAAAGTAAATGGAAAAGCCTACTAGTGTTGTGGTGGTATCCCTGATCGGTGTAGTCATGTAAGCCAAGTCAGTACCCTTTTCCCTTGTTGGTCTTCACACGATTATTGCTTTCGATGACATGGTAAGCGTTTACACCCAGGTTTATATACAGCTACTCATGCTCCACTGAACTGAATGAAACTGTGCTCAACTGTTCATTAACTGCCCAACAAAGCCTCCAGCTCACGAATGCAGTGAATTGAAATCAAAGCTGCTAAGAGCCCTATCATACACCCGGCTCAATAAGTCGCAAGACGTGTTTGGCATGATTTGTTGCTATCATCAGACCAGGGCAATGTTCACATTTTGCGGCATGTTGTTTAAATAGCAAATCCATTTGCACCACTTTTTGGACTCATGGGTGTTCCAGTCTAAAAAAGAGGTGTGTGAAGGCGCATTGTTGATGAGTTGCTATTCTTAGGAACTGAAATAGACTGTGCCATTGACAAACTAAAACCTGGTCTAAGTCTAAAGTATTATTTTCTACATAAATATAAAAAACAACTACCTCCATGCCTTCTACATGTTGGGGGCTTTTTTAAATTTATGATAATTTGCATTTTTTTAATGTTATTATTAAGATTAGAAGTATTTATTATATGCATATTTATATTTGTTTAATAAAAGTTTTTGGATATAACTTTTTTGACCACACTCCGTAATTATTCTTCATTTATTCGTTTGGTGGAAATTAGAACTGAATTTAGAAATAGTTTTGCTTAACAAACTAAATTAAATATGTAGGCTAATGGATGTTTTCAGTGGAGTGTGTACAACACCGTTTCGTTATCCACAAAAGTAAAGGAGTAAAGTAAAGAGTAGAGGTAAACAAAAGAGAAAGTAAATAGGCAGAATGGAGGAGGCTCATTCTTTATCCTCGAGCTGCAGATTGTCTGTTTAACTATTTTTTCACTAGTGAAGCGTTCAGTTTATCCTCTCATAAAGTCCACTATGTAAATAGCAAATGCGCCATGGCGTGACGCAACAGACTTTTAAAGACACCAATAACTCAATATAAGAATAAGCACAACCCATGCGCCAGGGTGCAAAATGTATATTTCAGTCCTTAAAATAACAAAAGTAGTTTCGGACACACCCTTAATGCTTTTGCCATGCGCTTTACAATTTGCGCCCTTTTTTTTACTGAGCGTAAAAACAAACATATTCCTGTGAAATTCAGTCTATGTCCAGTCTCTAAAGAACTTTTGACTGATTTTGACCCGACCAGCATACTTGTTTAAGCATTTGAACAGAAAGCATTCTACAACAATACTCGTCACCAAGGAGGACACCGGCGCCCAAAAGCATGATGGCCCAACTCAGCCTGAACAGGCTAAATAGTGTTTTTGTGCACAATCTGGAGTGAAGGTGTCTTCTGAACGTGAAGAGAAGCATAACTGCTTGGGGCAGTTCACATATCTCATCTTTTGCACATATTAGTAGTGCACATTGCACGCGCTCGCATTTCCCAGGTGTACCAGTTGAAAACCATGAGTCGCATGACAAGAACTGACCAATCAGCTTCTTACTTTGTAAGGAATATTAGGGGTGTAAAAATTAATTGTTTCTTCTGTATCAAGACAATTCGGTATCGATTCAGTAATAATCATAACCGGTTATTATGTACTGACGTCATTTATCTCCTATGCGCTCTGTCGCGAGGGAGGTGAGCGCCGGTATTTACAACACTCAGCCAACTCAGGGCCGGCCCGTAGCATAGGCTCCATAGGCAAATGCTAAGGGTGTGCATATCCAGTGGGGCGCCAGAAATGAGCGCGCTTCAGTTAGTTTTGTTTTCGATTTTCCTGACACACATTTAGTTATAGACGGCAATAACTCAAAAATCTCTTACCCTAAAAAGATCTAAAGTGTGTTTCCTACAGAAAGACAAAGCTGGTTATGTTTCACAGCTGTCTTTCTTTTTTTTCATCTGCGTTTACTTTAGCCGGCAGAGCTCGCGCTGACAGGAGCTCTCAGTAAGGGACCGTCGGAAAAGTGCTTATTTTTTTTCGTTTTTCTGCTCCGCTCAGTTGCAAGGGCTTAAGTGTGTGTGTTTGTGTGTGTGTGTGTGTGTGTGTGTGCGTGCATGTGTTTGTTTGATGCTGTCTATGTTTGTGAATGTGTTTGAATGATAGACAGTGTGGTGCTGTGTGTCTGTGTGTTTATACAGACAGCATGTTATAGCCTCCCCCCTAAAATATAACACTGTATATGGAAAGCATCGTCAATGCACCGTGATGCACCGAGATATCGAATTGAACCGAATCGATGGCATGATAATCGTAACCGAACCGAACCGTGAGACCAGTATAGGTTCACACCTCTAAGGAATATACACACTTCGGTAGACTAATTACCTCAGACAAACACAGAACACCCAAACACTGCTGTGCTTTTTCATACTATGGATGTCAGTGGTTTCGTGTATCCAGTTTTCTAGTCTTTCGAATATCTTAAGCTGCTATGATTAACTCATTGTAATATTTTTCAGTGAATATTAAACTACTGAAAGAGCTGCAGTTTATTTTGTATTTTCAGGGGTAAAATTTATATGTTTAAAAAGTAACTTCAAAGTAATTAGTAATTGATTATTTTTACATGAAGTAATTAGTAATGTGATCAAATTACATTTTTCGAGTAGTAATCAGTAATTTGTAATGAATTACTTTTTAAAAGTAACTGACGCAACACTGTGAGGTTCAGATCTAGCCATATTACCAAAATGTATTGTATACACACCCCCCAGTTGAAGGGGGGGGTGTACACATAGATATACACATATACACATATGTCTATAATCGGGAGTTTTCCTGGATGTTAGTATGCATTTTTTTTTAATGATGAAAATTTTTATTTGACATCACTTTTCTACATTGATGGATCACTTATCGCACAGGCATTCCTGACAAAAAGCTTGTGTTTGTGTGTATGAAAATGTACTATTCACTCTCCCTGTTAAATTTGATCTAATCGTGTGCTGAAATACACCTCCTCTCCTGCTTTCACTTCTCATACTGACGGAGGGAGCGATTTGTTTGTGAATGAATCTCCGTTATGAACGACTTGTTCACTAGCCGACAATAGTTTCTGGCACCACAGTATCTCTTTGTCATATTTCTTTTGCATTGTTTGCTGATTTATTCAACAAGCCTAGCATAAACCGAGTGTTTAGTGCGAGTTAGTGCTGCTTTGCCTTATGGTGAATGCAGACTATAGCTATTATTATCAATAACGTGACATGTATAGCACAAATTTCAAAACATACAAAAACGTAAAAAACTTAATCCTATGAAATGTTCTGCCTTTGTGCTTTGTTTTCTTTGTTTGCTCGTTACTTCACCCGTAGACAGCGCTTAAGTCCAGCATCTTCACGTAATAACACTGTCTTGACTAGTGCGGTTGAATGACATTTGTCCTGGGAGCACTGTACCAATGTGGCGGCGCTATAGACGCATGCTCAGGGTCCCTATGCGATATCTAGTGTATATATCTATGTCACAAATTGAGGAGCGGGGAAAGGAGGCGGAGTGGCGTGACAACGCGGGGAATCCTTCACAAACTGAGGAGCGATCACAAACCGAAAGTGGCAAGAGCGTCAAAGTAGCCAGAAGTCATTCATTTTTTAACGAGAACCGGCGGCGAGAAACAGCGGCGCGTCTTCATTGGCTATGACGCGGTTCGGCGGCAAGCAATCAGAATGAAGTAGTCCACCGCCTGAGCGGAGTTCAGAGAACACAGACCTGTAAACTTTGGTTCCGACCACAGTTGTTCCCAAGAGTTTGATTATTGCGGTTCCTGGATTTTCAATTATTAAAAATCGCGACGACGTTGGGCCCCCTAATCACGCAGGGCCCCCCCGCGGTGGTTGCCCTGCGGGCCCGTCCGCTACGCCACTGCCTCTATATGATTTTGAATTCAGTATTCTACTGAAGAAAGGGATGTATATCATGGATGGCCTGAAAGTTAATTAATTATTTGCTGATTTAACAAAAAAAAAAAAAATGGTAGGAAAACTATAGCTTTAAGAGAGCATTTCAGCTTAAGTGAGTTTTAAAGATGAATTTTGAGTTGAATTAAAAGTACAATGTCTGTGTGTTTTAAAGGAGGTTGATTCAGATGACACTGGCTGTGTGGTTTGCACTGACTCTTACCAACGTGGTGAACAAGTCACAGTTTTACCCTGCAGGTGCAGTATAAAGTTAACATATGATTTCGGTTAAACATTACTTTAGTACAGTAACAGTATAAATTATTTAAATAGACTGTCTTCATTCTAACACAACATGTATACTGTATGTTACATGTTGTTAAATCACAGAGGTAAATCAAAATCCCTTTAAGCCAAGAAAATTAACCTGGCAGCAATCTATGAAATTCTTCTTATCTCTTTGAATGGGGAAGCATCAAATTCTCCAAAACTGCTTGCCAAGCTTATAATTAAATTTCATATTTGGCATTACTAATGACATTTAACAACAGCTGTCTCTTAAATTTAGTTTCAAAACATTAGAATCAAGACAACAAAAGGTTTTTTTGGCTGTTTCTGAAGGACATGGTCAGACATCATCATGTCAATCAAACGATTTAGCCAAACAATAACTTACATGTGACAATCATCCTCCGAATAAGACCCTGTCTGTTTACGCCGGTCTTCTGAAGTAATTTCCAACTTATTCCTGATCCAAATCTTCTCCCAAAATGACGAGTGAAGTGGTTGCTGTCATGTGATTTGCATTTGAATGGTGGAGGCGGGAATTGGTCAGACAGGACACACTTTACTTCACATTCGTTTTATACAGATTACAAACCCTACTAAAAAAAACAGCTTAAACCAGCCTATGGTTATGACCAGCTAAAACCAGCTTGACCAGCCTAGCCAGGCTGGAAGCCCAGCTAATACCAGCTATGTCCAGCTTAAACCAGGCTGGTCAAGCTGGTTTTAGCTGGATTTAGCTGGTCAAGACCAGGCTGGAAATGGCTGGAAACCAGCCTGAAAATGGCCAAAACCCCTCTAAAACCAGGCTGGTTACCAGCTTAGGCTGGTTTAAGCTGGATTTTTCAGCAGGGAAGCCATAGAACATTTGTTTTCAAGTGTCGTTGGTTCTTTTAAAAGCAGAGATTGTAAGCTTTATGTGAATATATTTCTCATAAATGTCAGGCAAGTATTCGCTGAGATTCTGTCATTTTTGACGATGCCAGACATAACATTAAAGCTACAGTCGTCTGGATAAAGCTCCTCCCCTGGAGAATCATCAATAGCCTGTGCTGGCTCCTTTACTTGACCACATTAGTCCTTATTACACTTATTATTAAATTACATTTTTCCCATTCAAAACTATATGAGTTTTGATGCATTATATTTTGGTTTGCTTTTAATAAGAATAAAATTAACTCTATTCTCTCTTGTTTTCTAGGCATTTATACCATAAGAAATGTATTGAGCCATGGCTTTTGGAACACCCCACCTGTCCTATGTGCAAATATAACATCCTCAAATCCTCGGTTAGTTTGCAAGCAGATCAGCAGATGTAGTCATGAATGATATTATGTAACATGGGTTCTTTGTTTCTTTATATGTTTAGATTGAGGAGGATAGCTATGACCAGCCTTCACCATCATCATCCTCTTCTTCATCATCTTCCTCAAATGATACATTCTGTTTAGCTACAATAACATCAGCAGATCAACGCAGCACATTACAATCAAACATCCAAACTGAAGAAAGTAAGTAAAGTCTAAAAAAAAACCATTTGGTGCTTAAAATTTTTCATTCATGTTTGTGGGTATTAAAGTGATAATACCTCCAAAACTACTTTTTTTTGTTGTTGTTTACTCACCCTTACATGTTTTACTTTCTTCGGTTGGACACAAAATAAATTTTTTGAAAATTAGTAGAAACTCATAACCATTTATTTTTATAGTATTTGTTTAACCTACTATGCATGTAAGAGCCAGTTCATTCATTCATTCATTTTCTTGTCAGCTTAGTCCATTTATTAATTCAGGGTCGCCACAGTGGAATGAACCGCCAACTTATCCAGCAAGTTTTTACTCAGCGGATGCCCTTCCAGCCGCAACTCATCTCTGGGAAACATCCACACACACTCATACACCACAGACAATTTAGCCTACCCAATTCACCTGTACCGCATGTCTTTGGACTGTGGGGGAAACCTGAGCACCCGGAGGAAACCCACAAGAAGGCAGGGAGAACATGCAAACTCCACACAGAAACGCCAACTGAGGCAAGGTTCCAACCAGCAACCCAGCGACCTTCTTGCTGTGAGGCGATAGCACTACCAACTGCGCCACTGCCTCACCCTAAGAGCCAGTTATGCATAATTAATTTGTGATAATAATTTAGTTAAAATGGTTAAACATGGCGAAAGTTTAAAAAATTCATAATGATTCTATTATCTAAAATGCATAATTTAATAATTAATACAATTTAAGAACTTTAATTTTTATTTATTTATTTATTTATTTTTTCTTCCGACAGTAATACGACATGATGTCATTAGTTTGTACTTTAGGTCAGATTGCAGCTTAGGACATTGGAAGCAACACAGTTTTTTGACCGAGCTATATCAAGTCTACCCACAAAGCAAATTATCTCTGTCCCAGCTCTGGCTCACTCAGTCAGCTTTTGCTTGGCTCACATGCCACATTGAATTACGGTACATGACTGTACCAAGTCTGGCTTCCAGACAAGGGTCAAACATGGACCATATGTGGGTCAAGCGTCAGCCAAGTTTATAACCCATAACTGAGCCTGAACTGGGCCAGATATGCTGGTGTGTCATGACTGCAATGGAATTGATAAACCCATGAATCATTTCTCTTTAGGCGTGCTATAGGTGTGCTTTTTCTTTATTTGATAATAATTTAAATGTATTTTAAATGTGGGTCAAACCTACATGGCCAACAAATCAATTTTTAACATCTGTGGGACTGGGGGAAGCCGGAGCATCCGGAGTAAACTCATACAAGGAACATGCAAACTCCACACAGAAATGCCAACTGACCCAGCCGGGACTCAAATCAGCCACCTTCTTGCTGTGAGGCGATAGCGCTACCCACTGCGCCACTGTGCCGCCCTTCTTATATTAGCCCAGGGCTCCCTCCCATTGCAGGGCGAGAGGAGAGTTTGAGCTCAGGTAGATTTCGAAACTCCCCTTCCGTAGTAGCTAATGAACAGAAATGGGTTGCTCTTAAGAGATAACTACTTACTAAAAGCATGTCTATGGTGCAGATTTACATTAGTCAGTTAACTTAAGTTACAGGTTTTTGGGCAGTGGGAGAAACCGGGAAACTCACGTGAACACAGGGAGAACGTTTAACTTCTGCACAGAAACGTCTGCTTGCTTGGTTAGCACTAAAATCAGTGACGTTCTTGCTGTAAGACAACAGTGCTAACGAAGATGGCTGTGATATGGAACTTAGGGTATTTATAATGACTTAGGAAACGTCTGATTGGTGAATCATGAATTGGGTAATGAATGACCAGCTGTGTTCAATCCATAGACTGTAAAATATATGGACGTAGTGTCCGTGACGTCACCCATAGGTTTCTAAAGAGCGCAAAAGAAGCCACAAATAGGCGCGGCCAACCGTCGCCTTTTTGTTCGCGCGTCATCACACCCACGGCGGGATACCAAACAAGGGCAAAGAGGCGGAGAGTGAGCGGAGCTACAGACACGTGCTGGCATTTTGCCTGGACCTGGCTCAGACACACTGTACTTTGGGAGAACGCTTAATACTTTATCACCTGTGACTCGTTTGTGTTCTGACCACTTGTGCTTGGTTGTATACTATATCAATAAAGTGTTTAGACTTTTAAAAACACTGCTGTAATACATTGAGCCACTAAACATTGTTCTTGTGACGTTTTTCAACAGGAGGAAAACGCGAATTACTTCCAAACACTTCAGATATAGTCTGTGTTAGTTAATGTAAGACTATTGATGAAATCCAGCATAACACTGTATGACAACGCTTCAGAGGACTGTTCTAGAGCCTACAGCTAATCAATTCGTCAGATTCTGGAGTGCATTACAGCTCTAAATATAAACATAAACGATAAATGATCTTAAATAAAACAAATACATGTATAAAGATGGTATATAGTATATAACTTTACTCACATGGGAAACGGAGGCCACATGAATGGTTTGTGAGCACAATTAAGTGCACTCAGCATGCCATGCCATCTAATAATTGTAGGAAACAAGTCCAAAAGGCAGTTGACGGTGTAAAGCCACATAAAACAACACAGAAATACGATAAATATGCCAAGTTCAGTGGCTAATCTGCAGGATTCAGCTGAGGTGACGTGACGGCGACCAACGAGACCTAGCTGTCACTCAAGTGGCCACGCCCTTAATTATGCAAACCTAATATAACTTAATATAAAGGAAACGGATGAGTTCTAAAAAAATTCACCCCCCTCACAGTTGTCATGAAGGGAAATATTAGCTGTATTAACCAAAATCTTTTTTTGTATCAGGCTGTAAACCTCTTTTTTTCTGCTGTAAAGTTGGCCATTCTAACAGTGGGCTCAATTGAAATTTGCTCTATTTTGGAGCCAGGAGCAGCCACGACTAGCGGAATTTCGGATGAATTGCAATTTTAGTTACTTTCGTATTGGCTTCCTGAGGGAGAGCGGGAGGTTGACGCTTGGTTCAATCATAAGCACATGGTCCTCTTGAAATTAGCTTATAAATAAACTTCACAAAGTGTAAAATACGGTTTTGCCATCCTATCATTGTTATGCTGGAATAATCTATGCATGCCATGGTGTATAGTTATGACTTATGGTTAACCATGTTTTTTTTTTATCGACAGCAGCAGCTGGACATACATCCGACACTGTGAACTGCAACCTGGACATTCACACTCAACACATTTATGATAACCCAGGATTTGAAGAGGAACCAGAGATAATCGAGCATCAGAACATCAACCAACAACTTTAATACTAAACTGTGACATAATATATATTTGAATATTTACATATTTTGACATCTGAACAGGCACTGCACACATAGGGCTCAACCTGCCCTTTTTAGTCTGTGATATAAAGTGCCCTTCCAAAGTGAACAGAAGTGGCCCCGCGATTTACAACCACCACCACCCTGATCTTCAGTTCTTGACATGTTCTGCCCCGCTCATCAGTTCTTGACATGTTCTGCCCTGCTCTTCAATTCTGCACAAGCCCCCTGAAAGCCTCTGCATGGCATCTGAATATCTGAAACAGCAACATCTATGAAATAGAAGGACATTTAAAAGGATGAAAAATAGGAAAAACAAAATTAAGATGTGTAAAGTCAGCATGAAATGGAAGTTAAGATCGTCCTTTCCCCCTATCTTGACATACATCCAATTGAAATGGTTTCTAAAATGAGAAAAAATGTAGGGCAGTGCATGATTTTGCTCTCTGGCTACTGATTAGATCATTTGAAGATGGCTGCTCACAGCAAGCTAAGTTGCTAACAAAATGGAGGAAGCTTTAAATGCTTTTTGCACTTAGATTTTAAGGAATCACAGTCAGCTGAGCTCCCTCTGAAGCAAAAGGTTTTCAGGATAAGAAAGAGGAGCTAAGTTTTACAGATGGATTAGTATCATATACAAAGCACTGCTTCATAGAAATGAGGCATGCGCTGATAGTCCCGCCCTAAAGCCATGTGACCAGAAGTGAGAAAAGTTGTGTCAAGGAAGAAGAGAATGCTAAAGCGTATGGCGCAAAAGCATTAAGGGTGTGTCCGAATCCACTTTTGCTATTTTAAGGATGGATAAATAGGCTTTGTGCTGCGCCACATGGTCTAACAGGGTTGTACTTATTCTCTTAATGAGTTATGGGTGTGTTTTGAGAATAAACCAATCAGAGTGTCCTCTTCCATTCCCTTTAATGCCGAGTTCAGACTGCATGATTTTAGCTCCGATTTTGGCTCGGTGACACGTTTTGAGAAATTGCAGACAAATGCCTGAAATCACAGGCAAATCAGTGCTCGTGCACGTTATCTGAGGAAAAGGAAGAGATGGGGTGGAAGGGGGGATTCTTCCAAAACGAAGATAAGGCAATAGGGCGAAATCAGTCTATTTATTCTAAGCTTGAATCAATCTAATTGGATTATTACTGATTACGGATGAGAGGCCAGCTGTGATCAATCATATCACGTGCTCCTCTCAAAGTTAGCTTATAAAACTTCACTTATTGTTTATTGTGAATCAGTTTTAAAGGCCACCTACTTTGTTTTCATTTTCATAAGGGGTTTAGGCAACAGTGACAACTGTGTGAATACATCCAGTCTCTAATGGTAAAAAATAATTAATTCTGTTTTTATAATCCACATTTTTTTATAATTATTTTTAGGGGTTTTCACCGCTATTTGGATAGGACAGTGAAAATTTTACAGACAGGAAAGTGTGGGGAGCAGAGATAGGGAAAGGATTGGCAAAGGACCTTGAGCCAGGAATCGAACTCAGGTCGCCGTGAGCACCTTGGTGCTATTTGTTACTATAAATCCACATTTTAATGGACGTTTTCCATTTGTACATTTCATCAGAGGGGGAAAGCCCCCACCCATTCATGACGATTTGTCCCTCTTTAGCATTGAGAGCCATGAGTGAGAAGCTGCCGTCCGCCATTAAGGTTTTCACTTTGTACCTGCAAAAGATGGTTGGCTTGTTCGACTTCACACAGCATCACAAGAATCGGCTGCCACCTGAAAAAAGCAATGCATTCTGGTTAGACATTTAGTCCCACAATGTACTGTGAGAGCAAAACGAGAGCAGGTGCTCAGGTCAGATGCTGCAGTTGCTCAAAATTGGCTGTGAAAGACTTTCATGACAACACACTTTATTCTAATTGGTCAGAGTCTGTGACGAAAAGTATGACATGTGCTACATGGTTTAATCAGTAATTTATTTATTTATTACTCGTTTATTTATTAACCAAACTTTATCTTGAATAAATATATCAAAATATGTTCTTATTGATAAGAACAAATGTTTGAAAAAAAAACATTCTATATTAATAAAATAAAATAAAATTACATCGTCTTCATATATATATATATATATATATATATATATATATATATATATATATATATATATATATATATATGAAGACTATGTAATTTATTTTTTTCAGAGGAAAAGTTTTACAGCAAGTGAAATTTTGTAGTCCGGGCTCCTGCTTCTGTGCCTGCAAACAGCAGATCTTGCCTGTAAGTTGCAGGCTAGTGTGGGTCAGCACGAACAAACCTCATGTCAGGGACTAAGAGGCATTATAAATGCAGAGTTTTAGGATGGCCAAATAAACACAGTAGTCTCCATAGATGACCTTCTTCTGAGCCACTTGTTTTTCATTTTCAGAAATAACGTTAGTCCTTTTTTGATTCTGCCGCTATGCTGATTCATTGCCATTCCATCATCTTGGACCACCAATTCATTGGAGTTTTAAGTTAAGACGGTCGCACTTCCCCATTCCATGTTGAACTGCTCTTGGACTTTTGATGGCTTTTCTGAGGTAAAAGTGATGCATTTGTACATTATTTACAAGCTGTTAAATAACATGCAGTCAGAACAATTGAGTGATTACATGAGGTGTTTTCCATTTTATTATGTTGGACTGTTTTTTTTAACCAGTAGGATTGATGTTCACAATTTGCCATGGCACATTATAGATTGTCAAAAAAGGTTTAAATAGGCAGAATTTAAATTTAAACTGGGATTTTCGTCTGGGCTTTTTATTATTGCAAGCATAAAGGTTGTGATTATTGGGTGCCAGATGTTCTACAAATAATGTTTAGTACACTGTAAAACAATTCTGGTTGCCTTAAATTCTTAAACTGAATCAAATTAACCTTATGAGTCCATTGAACTCATGTTAAACTGACATAAATCGTAAATTGTAAATTACGCTCACGTAAATTGTAGAATTAAGTTAGAACATGATTAACTTAGTTTAATAAGTTACAATGAACTAAAAGCATATGCTTTCAGGAATAATTGATCATATATTTTTTTTTACAGCATGAAGGTGTTCAAAAAAATGTCAAATAAAGAAGAATGTATTCTTCTAACCAGAAGAGCTGTAATGTTTATTGAAACAATGGATCCAGGAAACTGTAAATTGATGTAAAACTGTTCTTGTAATAATGGAATTTAAAACTACAGTTGGCTATTTTGGGGAGAAAGCACCCCTGATCTGTAATTGATATTATACTTGTACTTATTAATGGGAAACTCTATGTTTGTATTTTTACATAAAGCTAATAAATTTACAGGTTGATTAACTAATATGTTCAAGTGAAACAAATGATCCTGCTGTTGCTATAAATACTTTATGAAGCTCTGTAAAACACTACAATTGTTATATGTTTATTTCTGTTGTACTGTAATGTGATGGTTTTGAGGATTTGCCCAGACACAAGAACTCTCTCTCTCTCTCTCTCTCTCTCTCTATATATATATATATATATATATATATATATATATATATTGCAATCACATTTACTGATCCAAAAACTAACAAAAAGTGCTCAGGGGTAACTTAGATATTGTGTCGATACTTTTTGGGCAAGGGATACATCAGAATAAACAGCAAAACCAGTCCAAGGCAGAGAGAGAGATTGAAACTGTGTAAAAAAAAAAAAAAAGTGTAGTGTACAAATAAATTCACATAAACATGCAGGTAATTACATTCAGTGCATCCGGAAAGTATTCATAGCGCTTCACTTTTTTCACATTTGTTTATATTACAGCCTTATTCCACAATGGATTAAATTCATTTATTTCCTCAGAATTCTACACACAATACCCATAATGACAATGTAAAAAAGATTTTTTGAAATTGTTGCAAATTTATTAAAAATAAAAAACCTGAAATCACATGTACATCAGTATTCACAGCCTTTGCTCAGTACTTTGTTGATGCACCTTTGGCAGCAATTACAGCCTCAAGTCTTTTTGAATATGACACCACAAGCTTGGCACACCTGTCTTGGGGAATTTTTGCCCATTCCTCTTTGCAGTACCTCTCAAGCTCTATCAGGTTGGATGGGAAACAATGGTGTAGAGGCAGTTTTTAGATCTCTCCAGAGATGTTCAATAGGATTTCAGTCTGGGCTCTGGCTGAGCCACTCAAGGACATTCACCATGGTGTGGTGAAGCAACTCCATTTATATTTTGTTGGTGTGCTTTGGGTCATTGTCAAATCGTCACTCCAGTCTGAGGTCAAGAACACTCTGAAGCAGGTTTTCTTTCAGGATGTCTCTTTACATTGCTGCATTCATCTTTCCCTCTATCCTGACTAATCTTCCAGTTCCTGCTGCTGAAAAACATCCCCACAGCAGCTGGAATGGTATCAGCCTGGTGATGAGTGGTGCCTGGTTTTCTCCAAACATAACGCCTGGCATTCACACCAAAGAGTTAAATTTTAGTCTCATCAGACGAGAGTATTTTGTTTCTAATGGTCTGAGAGTCCTTCAGGTGCCTTTTGGCAAATTCCAGGTGGTGAGTGGCTTCCGTCTGGCCACTCTACCATACAGGCCTGATTGGTGGATTGCTGCACAGATGGTTGTCCTTCTGTAAGGTTCTCCTCTCTCTACAGAAGAACACTAGAGCTCAGACAGAGTGACCATCGGGTTATTGATCACCCCCCTGACTAAGGTCCTTCTCCCCCGATCACTCAGCTTAGATGGCTGGCCAGCTCTAAATTCCAAACATCTTCCACTCATGGATGATGGAGGCCACTGTGTGGAATCGGAACTTTCAGAGCAGCAGAAATTTCTCTGTAACCTTTTTCCAGCCTTGTGCCTGGAGACAATACTGTCTCTGAGATCTACAGAAAATTCTTTGTCTTCATGCTTGGTTTGTGCTTTGACATGCACTGTCAACCCTGGGACCTTATATAGACAGGTGTATGCCTTTTCAAATCATGTCCAATCAACTGAATTTACCACAGGTGAACTCCAATTAAGCTGCTGAAACATCTCAAAAATAATCAGTGGAAACAGAATGTACCTGAGCTCAAAACACAGGCTGTGAATAATTATGTACATGTGATTTTCCAGGTTTTTTTATTTTTAATAAATTTGCAACAAGGCGATGCGGTGGCGCAGTAGGTAGTGCTGTCGCCTCACAGCAAGAAGGTCGCTGGTTCGAGCCTCAGCTGGGTTAGTTGAAGTTTGCATGTTTGTCCGTAGTGTATGTGTGTGAATGAGAGTGTATAAGTGTTTCCCAGTGATGGGTTGCAGCTGGATAGGCATCCGCTGCATAAAACATGTGCTAGATAAGTTGGCGGTTCATTCCGCTGTGGCAACCCCAGAATAACAAAAGGACTAAGCCAAAACAAAAATTAATTAATTAATTTTGATTCACTAATTTTGATTCACTATTTCATTTGTTGCCAGGTTTTTTTTTTTTTGAAAAATAAATGTTGCTAGATCAGTATGAAAAGTTGCTAAGTTGGTAGCACTGAGGCTGCCCAAACAAATGTAACAGTAGAAGCAGCGGGGAAGATGCTTAAAGTTTAGGGCGAGGATGCCCTCTGCTGACAGAATTGAGAACTTGTAGACCTATCGTGGCATTTAATTTAGTTAATAGAAGTTAAAGTCTGGATAAGTCAGTCATTTGGTTTTCTCATGAAGAAAACTGCCCTTGATATTGGCTAATTTGTTACATTTCAATAAATGTCACATAATGATGAGTTAAATTAAATGGGATGTTTTTGATCATCTAGTTGTTATATAATTGAATAGTAAGCAAAAGCACCAATTGTCATTGGAAAAAAAATAAGTTAGTATTATTTGATGTTGTATGATTATATTCAGTTAAACTATTATTATTTATCTTTTTATAAAGTTGAATATAAGATATGTCTTAATTTTATAATAACAGTTTTTTAACTCAATGACTTCACTCAGCTGTTTACAATGCAAAAATGAGGATGTCTTAAGTTTATATTTAATCTATAGAAATAATAAGCCCGTTAAATACAATTAGGTTACTGCACCTTTAATCTTTCCATCTCTGCAAAAGTGAAAGACCTTCTCCAAACAGAGTCATAGACAGACAGCTGTTCCAGACTCCAGTAGACAAAAAAGCTATTCGCTGTCATCTGCCTTTAAATATGTAGCGGACTGCAGCTCTTCAGTCCAGCTGCTGATGCTGCTGCTGTTTCGTCCTCAATGCCATGCTGAAAACATCCGACAACAAGCTTTTCTCCTGATCGTTAAAAGCTTCGGTGAGTCCCTCAGAATTATGCCATTATTAATGTTGATGTTTTCCAACAGTTTTACTGCATGTGGTCGGTGACTTTACTTCATTTTAAAGGTTATTAGGCCTAGGAAATGTAGCGTGGTATGAAAGACACTTGGGTTAAATGACACCGCGATTGCACCGTACAAGTAATATTGATATTAACAAACGAGGAATGTTGCAGTGATTGTGTTACGGGATGAATCGAGCGCACCAGCAGCAGTTCACACAGGATTCATTCTTACGTTTACCTCGAGGGACCCAACGGAATGCAACTCTTGCCTGAACTATTTTTAACTTGGCACGAGTCTGGAAATGAGCGTAGACAAAAGCATCTCTATGTGGGAACCAGCAAAGGATCACAAAGCGCAGAATGCGTTTTTATGGCGTGACAGAAGTAGACTCGATGGCATTTTTTAATTAAATCATAGACAGCAAAGTCTATGAAGGTGGGACGTGCTCTCAAGTCATAATAAACATTGTAAAGTACTTTGAGTTTATTTCTGTTTTTGTTTTTATAACTACAACAAATATGTACACCCTAAAAATGCTGGGTTATTTTGGGTAGGGCTGCACGACACACGGAAAAAAAAAAACTGACATTGCAATAGTATTATTCACTGCGATATACACTTGCCAGCTACTTCGTTGGATGTCCTCTATTGGATTGAGATCTGGTGACTGTGGAGGCCATTTGAGTACAGAATTAACATGACTTATTGTCATGTTTAAGTAACCAGTCTGAGATGATTGACGCTTTATGACATGGCGCGTTATCCTGCTGGAAGTAGCCATTAGAAGATGGGTATACTGTGGTCATAAAGGGATGGACATGGTCAAAAACAATACTCAGATAGGCTGCAGCACTGATACTATGCTCAATTGGTACTAATTGGCCCAAAGTGTGTCAAGAAAATATCCCCCACGCTGCTGCTGCTGTAGCCCATCTGCCTCAAGGTTGTACGTGTTGTGTGTTCAGAGATCCTCTTCTGCATACCTCGGTTGTAACGAGTGGTTATTTGAGTTATTGTTGTCTTTCTAGCCGCTCGAACCAGTCTGGCCATTCTCCTCTGACCTCTAGCATCAAGGCATTTGTGCCCACAGAACTGTCACTCGCTGGATAGTTTCTCTTTTCAGACCATTCTCTGTAAACACTAGAGATAGTTGTGCGTGAAAATCCTAGTAGATCAGCAGTTTCTGAAATACTCAGACCAGCCTGTCTGGCACCAACAACCATGCTACATTCAAAGACACTTTAATAACTTTTCTTTCCTATTCTGAACTGCAGAACTGCAACAGATAGGCTTGACCATGTCTACATGGCTAAATGCATCGAGTTGCTGCCATGTGATTGGCAGTTAGACAGGTGTACCTAATAATGTGGCCAGTGAGTGTTTATGGCGATATAAGCACAATTTCAGCAAATGACTTAAATAGCTCGTGAAGACTTCATAGTTTTAGATAGATTGGGATTATTCTGCAGGGAAGCACATCTGCATAAAATATCATTTAAATAATGACAAGCAAAGTTAAAGACAACAGAGAAAATATGCAAATAAAAAATGATTTATGATTTTTTGGAAAGTCAAACAATATTCAGAAGCAGAAATTAAATAATCACTGTATAAAAAAAATAATAATAACACTATTGTTTTAATTCAATATATAATTATATAATGTATAATGAATCTTGGCGATGCAGTGGCGCAGTAGGTTGCCTAACAGCAAGGAAGGTCGCTGGTTCGAGACTTGGCTGGGTCAGCTGGCGTTTCTGTGTGGAGTTTGCATGTTCTCCCTGCATTCCCGTGGGTGACACCGGGTACTCTGGTTTCCCCCACAGTCCAAACACATGCAGTACAGGTGAATTGGGTAGGCTAAATTGTCCGTATTGTATGGATGTGTTTGGATATTTCCAAAGATGGGTTGCAGCTGGAAGGGCATCCGCTACGTATAACATATGCTGGATAAGTTGGCGGTTCATTCCGCTGTGGTGACCCCAGATTAATAAAGGGACTAAGCTGAAAATGAATGAATGAATGAAAAATGTATCTTTAAGCTACAAACGTTTTATTTATTGTGCCCAAATGGCAGTAATTTGCTAATAATAATGTGTTAAAAACACATGCAAATAATAATCTTTCACTCTAAGGTTAAAATATGATTTTACTCCAGTATGTTGTTATATAACTATAATCTTAACTACATTGCAAATTCCTGCAATGTGATTATTGCGTACTCGCACATTGCGATATCGACGCTGAAACGATATATTGTGCAGCCCTAACTTTAGGTATATGTTTGGGTAAAAATGCTGGGTTCCACACAATTCCTTCATGTTGTCCCAACACAAATTAATTTCACTAATTGTTATTTATTGTTAATTGTTATTATTTGTTAACTAAACCGATTGCTGGTTTATTCATTCATTCATTTTCTTGTTGGCTTAGTCCCTTTATTAATCCGGGGTCGTCACAGCGGAATGAACCGCCAACTTATCCAGCAAGTTTTTACACAGCAGATACCCTTCCAGCCGCAACCCATCTCTGGGAAACATCCACACACACACTCATTCACTACAGACAATTTAGCCTACCCAAATCACCTGTAAGCCACGCGAACGCAGGGAGACCATGCAAACTCCACACAGAAACGCCAGCTGAGCCGAGGCTCGAACCAGCGACCTTCTTGCTGTGAGGCGACAGGACTACCTACTGCGCCACTGCTTCGTCCTGATTTAGTTTATTTAATTAAATTAAATTGATTATAAAACCTTATTTAATCTACCATTTGGGTTTGTCCATATTTTATTTAAATTTATTTGTAGTGAAATAACCCATCTTTTTTTTTAAGTGTACAGATTAGTAGACCATATACAATACATTGCATGTGAATGTTCCTCAGGATATTTATTGGCTGTACTGTGATAAGTTTAGTGCAGTTTTTTTCTGACATCTATTGTACACTGCAAAAAATTCAGGGTTATGCACAATTCATTCATGTTGTCCCAGCACAAACCCATTAAGTTAACTTCATGAATTTAAATGGATTAAACATAAGACAATTAAGTTGTAAACATCCCAAGAATTATGTTGTTTCAGCTCATTTTAAATAAGTCATTTGAACAAACTGTGAAATCCTTATTTTGAGTGTACCTTTAGTACATTCAGTACTAGTTTATCAGAAATATGAATCCTGCAAGTATATCAGTTTATGATTGCTTCTCGATAAATGGTAATGGAAGAAGGATTGCTTGAAAATCAGTAATTCCTGTATTTGTTGTTGAATATACATCTCACCATCACTAGCTAATTAGCTGTACTGCTTTAAAAAATTTGTTTACATAAACAATTTGGGGAATTAGATTCCTGCAGACAGGATTTGTACACATTAGTTTATTTTATATTGTGTTAATGAGTAAATTACTGTATAAAAAGACATAGGCTGAGCTAAAACACATAGATGATGAGGTGGAGGGTAGGGTTTCAATCATTTGAGGATGAGAATAATTCATGCGGTGTCATCAGTGAATGTTGGTTGTAGAGGTCATGAGAATGCTGAGTCATACTGCAGAACAGCTTTCTCATGCTTACCTGCTTTCCTCTTTTATAAATAGAGGCCACAATTTGTAAGTTGATCCAATGTCATAACCGAATCAGCAATTTCTATAGAAAGACTATGAGCCATGAAAGGTGGCATAAAAACACACTTCTTTGTTTACTTCATGCTAATACCATTCAAAGAGGTTTTCACTGTTTACATGCTAGGGCTGTTATATATGTGCCACTAGCATACCATCTGGCAGACTTCACAGGCAGTGTTTTTACATGTTAAAGAAACACACTTTTTTTTAGGGGAAATAGACCCATTCAAGTCACTTATAGTGTAACAGGTGAATTTTTATATTTTTTTATTCATTCAGTCGATATATGTTTCTGGCAGGAGCACTTTTAGCATAGCTTAGCTTAGCTTAGCATAAATTATTGAATTAGACTTCTCTGTAGTTACATCGGGTACTAAAACCAACAGAAAAGTTACTATTTTCTAGGTTGATATGTCTAGGAAATATACTCTATTACCCACTCACTCCTGTATATAATAAAGCTTTTAATGAGTTTTAAAAAAATTAATTCTGACAAAAATTGATCAATCAACTGATTGATCTTAAAACAATTTAGTTGTCCCAAAGAAAACTCAAGAATTGTGCGGTTTCAACTTATTTTAAATAAGCAGGGGAGGCACCATGTAACACGGGGTAAAATGTAACACAGAGTTTTAAGGTCTTTGCTCAGGGTTAACGATGTTAACCATGCTTCAAAGGTTTTCACCACAGTGTTGGCACATGTCTTCCTGCCAATTTTTGAAAAAAGAAACGCAGATGAAACCATTTTTGCAGCATAAAAGTATTTTTATTATACTCAATATTTTTTTTAATAATTGAGGGTGTTTTAACCGAATCTAGCACTGAACTGGGAGAGATTCTGGAAGTTTTCCTTTGTCAAATATTAGCGCTATATTTTTTAAAAATATAATTCTCTCTAATTAAATTGTAAGCACTTCTCTCTTTGTGCCATGTCCTTTGGAAGCCCAAATTAAGAAACAGAACAAGCCCTGTGGAAAAAGCAGCGTTTGGACGCCATTTAAGCTTTCACTGCTTTAACATTACAGTGCCTCTGGCCACGCCTCTTCGCTGGGCAGGGTGTGTGCGTGAGGTGAATGTACATAACCTGAAGCGTTTGTGATCTCACTTACCCGGACTTATTTTTTTGTAGTCCCCAAATTTTTTAGCTGTAGACTAATGTAAGCTAACTCTGTAAAAGCCAATGTCTTCCTTTGCATTGAACTTTGAGTGTATTACATTCAGATATGTTGCTTATGTTCACAAAGCTACATTACACATCAACTAAAGTTTAAAATATGTTATTGTAGTGGACCATCCCTTTAAAACTTGTGGGTGGGGTAAATAGTACAATTTTTACTCCTGCCACTTTTGGCATACTGCACAGAATTCATAGGTCTGGCGTTCATACTTTTCAGTGCTCATTTGTCGGAGAGGCTTGTGTGTTGTTGGTAAAAACAGAATATGGCTTGTCTAACCCCATTACTTTGTTCATTATTTGGCCAAAACCAAAAAAGTGTTACTCTGTGCCCCGCTCTCCTCTAGTATGAACAAACAGAAAATATTTTTTTTGAACGTAACCTATGAATTTACCCAACAATCTAAAGGAAAGGAATTTTCTCAAACTGTTTTTAACAAACAAGGTTTTGACAAAAAAAAAACATCACCATCATACCTAAAGAGACAGTTCACCCAAAACAGCCAAAAAATTGTAACAAACCACTTTAAGTTCTTTCTACCGCTCAACCCAATAGAAGACATATTGAAGAAACCTGCAACCATTGACTTCCACATTTGTTTTTCCAATTACGGAAGTCAATGGTTCACAGCTTTTATCAATAATATATTCATTTAGGTTTAACAGAAGAAGAAAAAAAAGACATAAAGACTTAGAACCACTTGAGAGTGAGTAAATAAGACTCTAAATTTTAATTTTGGGTGAGATCTTCCTTTAAAGTAATGTACTTCGCTAGATAAGTCTGGTTTCTCTCAAGGAGACATTGAAAAATAAACAGTATTTATGGCAGATTTTTAGAATAACTCGAATAGACTGAAATGTTAAACAATGTTATGATAATAAATACTTTTCAGGCTGTTGAAGTGTATCTATCAGTGGCTGAGTAAAAACAGAGGGTGTCGAGGGGTTGAGTTGCTCTCACCACATGCCTGGATGACAAGATAAAGGGACTTGTTAACATGAAATGTGCCCTGATGCAGCTTAGTGGCTGATTATCTCTCAGAGCCAAGAGAGTCAGATGGCGTGACAAAAACAAACATTCTGAAAGCTGGAGAGACCATTCAGGCTGTGTGTGACCATTACCTGCCATATAGTGTAACTCTTTCCCTTTTGTGTGATTTCTAACCTTCTTTGTAAGCGACAGAGGGGTATGACAGACCAGGAGAGCCCCACTGTGGATGATCCCCCTCCAACATACCCAATCTTCCTCCTTGTCTTTTTCTTCTTCATCACCGGCCTTCTGGGTTTTCTAATCTGTCACTTATTGAAGACGAAGGGCTACCGCTGTGAATTGGAAGAGGATGAAGAAGACTGTGAAGGCAAACTGGGAGCAGACCAAGATGGCAAGTCATGTCAACCTTTGTTTTATCGAATTCATACGTATTAAAGGGATAGTTCTCCTAAAAAAGAAAATTCTGCCATAATTTACACACTGTTTACACGTTCTAAACATGCTTGACGTTCTTTCTTCTGTTAAATACAAGATAAGATATTTTAGAGAAAACTGGAAACCTGTATTCATTGATGTGTTTGTTTTTCTTACTATGGAAGTTAATGGTTTTCAGCTGTCTTCAAAATATGCTCTTTAGTGTTCAACAGGAGGAAGAAACTCATAAAGGTTACATAAAACCACTTGAGGCTGAGTAAATAGTAAGCAAACGGAAACTTTGGGGTGAACTATACCCTTAAGAAAAAATCTAATGAAATGAAAATAAATTTGAGTAACAATATAATAACTGCACCCTGTTAATCATATATGAAGCATTAGCAAAAAGCTAATTCATCATTTGTTAAGCATTTACTTAACAATAGTGGACATTAGTAAGCAGTTTAGAAATAAAACTGAAATTGTGGTATTCCTGGCTTATAAAAACATATATAATGTGCTTTAAGAGTGTTTTTTGTTTATGATAGTTTTTTCATGTCTAAATTAAGTATTGCATTATTAAAAAAGTAAATGATAAAAAATATGTTTTTTGCATTCTTACCTAAAAATGAAAATATTGAACAGTTTAAACATCACTGAATAAGACTGAAACGTTTCATCATACACTCAAAAATATTCAAACTACTTATTTAAAATAATCAACTTAATTGTTTTATGTTCAATCTACTTAAATTTGTAAAAACAATTAAGTTAACTTAATTGATTTGAGTTGAGACAACTTAAAGGAATTATGTGGCATTTTACTCAATTAATCATTTTACACTCAAAAAAATAAATAAATAAATAAATATATATATATATATATATATATATATATATATATTAGCCTGTTCAAACTACTTAATTAAAATGAGCTGGAACAACACAATTCTTGAGATTTTATTGGGCCAACTTCATTTTTTTATGTTCAATCCACATAAATTTGTTAAAATTGTTAAGTTAACTTACAAGTCCCTTGTGTTGGGACAACATGAATGAATTGTGTGGAACCCTGCATTATATACAGCGTATGTTCGATCTACTTAATTTGTAAAAACAATTAACTCAATTGATTTGAGTTGGGACAACATGAAGGAATTATGTTATTTGTACAGTGTATTCACTCAGAAAAATGGTTGTTTAAACTCCTTATTTAAAATGAGCTGAAGCAACACAATTCTTGATATTGGTTGGGACAACTTAGCTGTTTTAAGTTCAGTCCACTTAAATTAGTTAAGTTAACTTAATTGATTTGTGTTAGGACAACATTAATGAATTGTGTGGAGCCCAGCATTTTTACAGTGTTTTAATATTGTTAAAATTATTATGTTCTTGTTGTTTCATCAAACTTGTTGCATGCACACAAAAAAGTAGAATTTTTTAACTGTGCAGTTATTCTGTTTTTGGATAAGATTGCAAAGATTCATTTTTCATTTGATAAAGTTTCTTTTGATAAAGAACAGTTTTGTTTTTCTATCTTGAAATTAATATTTTTGGTTCTGAACCACTCTGTCGTTCATTTCCTTTGTTCTGTTTAGAATATAAGCAAAACATACAGTTGAAGTCAGAATTATTAGCCCCCTGAATAAATAGACCTAATTTCTGTAAAACGGAGAGAAGATTTTTTCAACACATTTCTAAACTTAATAGTTTTATTTGCTCATCTCTAATAACCGATTCATTTTATCTTTGTCATGATGACAGTAAATAATATTTGATTAGATATTTTTCTAGACACTTCTATACAGCTTTAAGTGACATTTAAAGGCTTAACTAGGTTAATAAGGTTAACTAGGCAGGTTAGGGTAATTAGGCAAGTTATTGTACAATGATGGTTTGTTCTGTAGACTATCGAAAAAAATTTTATCTTAAATGGGCCTATCATTTTGTTCTTAAAATCGTGTTTGAAAAATTAATAACTTTGTTTATTTTAGCTGAAATAAAACAAATAAGACTTTCTCCAGAAGAAAAAATATTATCAGACATACTGTAAAAAATTTCCTTGCTCTGTTAAACATTCTTTGGGAAATATTTAAAAAATAAAAAGAAAACAAAGGGGGGCTAATAATTCCGACTTCAACTGTAAATAGTCCTCACAAAACTGTAGAAATGTATGTTGATAAAGTGTAACAGAGCCCAGCTAGCGAAGTGCTATGCAACTAAACCTCACAGACGCTAGAGGTGATCTTTATGGTCTTTAGCCTCCTTGTTAAAGTAACCGACTCCTATACAAAGAGTCGCTGGTTCGATCTCAACTCAGACTGGGTTGGGTGCAGCAGGACCAATGGGTTACATGTGGGGGTTCGTCCGGGATGGGAATGAGGTTTAGGGGGTGAGTGTAATGGAGGCCAGCTAGCAAAGTGCTATGCATGTGAACCTCACTCCTCTGACCTCTAAAAGTGCTCAAGGGCTAAACGATAGAGGCCATGGTCTTAAGCCTCCTTGTTAGCAACTGACTCCCATACAAAGAATCACCGGTTTTATCCGAGCTCAGACCATGTTGGGTGTTGTAGGACCGGTGGGTTACTAAAGCATGTATTAACATACAGAATAACTATTAGTATACGAATGAATACTAAGATATATAAATGTTCGTTTGAAGTTCATTTATCATTTCCTTACTCATTCTGAATGATCTTATAAAACACCAAATAATTCTAAGTAACTGGTTTGTATATAATGCAATAGTTTAGTAATTAACAAATAATTATTAACAGTCAATCATTAAGCACATTATACGTGTACAAATAAGTGAAGAAAACAGCATTTGCTGCTGTATAAACTGCTTACTAATGTCTGTTAATGTCCTTCTAACTATTTGACTTATTATTTAAGAAATTATTAATAGGTGGCACAGTGGCTTAGCACATAGCACTTTCGCTTCACAGCAAGAAGGTCACTGGTTCAAGACCCGGCTAGGCCAGTTGCCATTTCATAGTTTACATGTTCTCATCATGTTGTTGTGGGTTTCCTCCGGGTGCTTCAGGTTTCCCCCACAGTCCAAAGACATGCACTATAGGTGAATGTGTGTGCTTGTGAGAGTGTACAAGTGTTTCCCAGTACTGGGTTGCACCTGGAAGGGCATACGCTGTGTAAAACATATGCTGGAATAGTTGATAGTTCATTCCGCTATGGCGACCCCTGATAAAGTGTGCAGTTATTATGAAGTGTTATCTAGTTTTTAGAAATTAACAAGTGCATTGTATATATTATAACTGATTTGAGAAATTAAAATTCTTTTTACTTTTGTAGCTATGTTCCATAGAAGTTATTTGTCTTCAAGGTTCTTGGCTTAACATCAAGACATCCCTCAGATCGTGTGTTAACGTAATCTGTCATTGGATCCAAAAATAAACACAGTTTTTCCATTGACCTTTTGAATTTCCCCCGGACATTTATGGGTAGCTGGGATATTATATGATAAATAGATTTATTAATACATTTTTTCACCCACAGAGGACACAGAATGAGGATCACTCTAAATCTGTTTATGACTTTAATTAAACATTGTTAAAATGAAGTTGTGACTATAACCTTTGCCAGTGAGGTTGGAAATACCTCATTGTTCAACTGAATGTAACAGACACTACCACTGGAAGACTTTATATGCTTAAAGGGACAGTTCACCCACTCCAAATAACAATAATATCCATTCATTCATTTTCTTGTCGGCTTAGTCCCTTTATTAATCCGGGGTTGCCACAGCGGAATGAACCGCCAACTTATCCAACAAGTTTTTAGGCAGCACACATTCACACACACACACTCATACACTACGGAAAATTTTGCCTAGCCAATTCACCTGTACTGCATGTTTTTGGACTGTGGGGGAAACCGGAGCACCCGGAGAAAACCCACGCGATCGCAAGAAGAACATGCAAACTCCACACAGAAACGCCAACTGAGCCGAGGCTCGAACCAGCGACCCAGTGACCTTCTTGCTGTAAGGCGACAGCACTACCTACTGCGCCGCTGCTTCGCCTCATAATAATAATAATAATAATAATAATAATAATAATAATAATAATAATGTCATCATTTACTCTTTCCTGATTTGTTCCAAATAATTTTTTAATACAAAAGAAGTTAAATTATAAAATGTTGGAAACCTGTTACCATTGACCTCCATTACATTTGTTTTTCCTACTATGCAATGGTTACTGGTTTCCAGCATTCTCTACTACAAACAAAATGTTGTTATTTTTTTTTGTTTTTTTGGGGGGGGGGTGAACAGTTCCTTTAAACATTGCATGTTATGATTAGTTCACTAGCTATATATGAGAGTAAATTTTGAGGACTCAAAAAGGCAATTTTAATTAATTTAGTTATTTAAATTGATCATCATCTTGATCTAATGGAGGATTTACCCATATGGGCAAAGCCAGGGTTTGACATTAAACAAATCTCCTTAAACTGAACAAACTAAAAGTGTATTGACACATTTTTGTACAATCATGATCAAAGATTATTTAAAAAAATATTGAAAATCTCTGTTTTCCCTCCAGATGTATCAGAAGACAGTCAAGACACTGTGGAACAAATTCTGAAGTGTATCATTGAGAATGAAGGTACAGAAAAAGTGCATTATTAAATTCTACATCTATTTCAATGACATAAAATGTATGGAGCTGCATTTTATTTATAATCCTTCATGTATTTAAATAGTTTCTTACAACCTTTCTTATGGTTTTGTGTTCCAGCTAATGTGGAGGCCTTCAGAGAGATGTTGGTTGGCCAAAATGTTTGTGAGCATTATGACCCACGGTATAATAATTTAATTATTTACTGTCATAAAAATATAAAAAACAGCCTTCAGGTCACATTTGTCTCATTTTAATTAACATGTGGATTGAAAAGTTGTAGTTAGTACTACTGTAGTTTAAGTCACAATTCATGCTATTACTTCTGGCTTATTATCTATAGTTGAAGTCAGAATTATTAGCCCCCCTTTGATTTTTTTTTTTTTTTTAATATTTCCCAAATGATGTTTAACAGATTAAGGAAATTTTCACATTATGTCTGATAATATTTTTTCTTCTGGAGAAAGTCTTATTTGTTTTATTTCGGCTAGTTATTCATTTTTTAAATGTAATTTTGAGGACAAAATTATTAGCCCGTTTAAGCTATATCTTTTTTCAATAGTCTACTGAACAAACCATGGTTATACAAAAACTTGCCTAATTACCCTATCCTGCCTAGTTAACCTAATTAAACTAGTTAAGCCTTTAAATGTCACTTTAAGCTGTATAGAAGTGTCTTGAAAAATGTCTATTCAAATATTATTTACTGTCATCATGGAAAAGATCAAATAAATCAGTTATTAGAAATGAGTTACTAAAACCATTATGTTTAGAAATTTGTTGGAAAAAATCTCTCCGTGACAGAAATTGGGGAAAAATAAACAGGGGGGCTAATAATTCAAGGGGGCTAATATTTCTGACTTCAACTGTACCTATGATTCGCATATCAACACAATTTTTTTGGTAGTAATAAAGTATGATTTTATTCTACATCCCTAGTCCTACCCAAAACCTAAATCCAACTTGTTAATTATTAATAATTAGCTAATTAACATTCTATCGAGCTAATAGTCTTTATTAAAGGTTTGTTTATGACATGAATTGTGACTTAAAAATAAAGTATTACCAAAGTTTTTATATATATATATATATATATATATATATATATATATATATATATATATATATATATATATATATATATATATATATATATATATATATATATATATATATATATATATATATATATATATTGCATGCAAAAGCAGCTATGGACATACATAGACATATTGTATCGGACTTCTGGTGTCAATGGATTCACGCTATATTTACACTGTAAAAATTGCTGTGAAATTAACAGTATTACTGGCAATTTTGGATGTAAAAAACAGAATTTTTTGCTGCTTGATAGTTTGAAAATTTATCTTGAGAAATTACATCTGCATTGAAAAACTAGGAGAAGCAGTTTTAACATGAAGTGACATGACATCTGACGTACCAACACTGTCTCAAGGCAATTTGTAACTTTTTGATTTAGAGGCTAATTCGTATGAATTCGTACGATCTAATTTGTACAATTTAGTACGATTTGCTCATCCCCCAATGATGGTTGGGTTTAGGGGTGGGGTTAGGTGCCACGCCTTCTTTTTAAAATCGTACAATTTCGTACGACTAAACTTGTACGAATTCGTACGAACTTGCCACTAAACTGGCAAAACGTAAAATACGTTTTCTCGTGAGATCAGGCTTTTTAGTGAAGTGATTTATTTTTTAATTTTTACATTTTTAGTGAAGTAATTTATTTTATAATTATCTTGTTTTCACCCAGGCTGCGTCATAAAGACAGTGTCGGTGGTCTTCCCCTTCACCACCACACAGTTCATCTCGGAGGTGAAATCAGCTCTTGTGTTCACTGCATGCAAGGACAAATCTTAAAAACGCGACGCAGAAGCCGCGTGGCCAAAAGCAAAGCCCGGCCAGGAGAGCAGACTGTGTTTTCTGTGGGCAGGTGAGACTATTAACTGTGTGAATTACATTATCAGTTAAACCAGTACTGGACAAAGTGTTTTTTTTTTTTAATTTATCAAAACACTACCTAATTAATCAATATCTTCTTCGGATACTAAAGTTTCTATCAAGGAAATTAGACAAAAGAAATAAATATTAGCTGGAGAACCATATTTGTTCAAGGCATAGAGGTAAATAATCAGTTAATATATGAGCAATATCACACGAGTAGCAGTGTGCTATGGCTGTATATCAGCACTGGTGGGAGGCGTGCGCGGCCGAGTGCCTTAGCGCCCCACCAGTGCTGATATACAGCCATACTCGTGTGATGTTGCGTTTATACAACAGTTCGACGGCACAATCTTGTACATAAAAAAGAAAATCAAACACAGAGAGTCTAAAACCCTTTTGTTTTAGGAACTACTTTCTTCCGCCATTCATTCACATCTGCAGCTGACATCAGAAACCGTAACTAATTCACCAACATCACTTTAGAGCTAGTGTTTGAATGATTCTCTATAGCGTAATGTGAAATGGCGCTTCTGATGTGTGACCCCTTTAAGGTGATGACAAAACAGCAAATTTTGCTCACATTTAAGAATATAAGGCTGAACGTGACATGAAATGGCATCCGTCTACAGAGATTTCTCACCAGACGAGAGGGGTCTGGATGCAGACCTGGTGCAGTGCAATCTGAGCTGCATCGAATGCTTTTTAATGGGCTCACCTAACCCCACCCCTAACCCTACCCCTCACCGGGATGTCACTCGCTCCATTTGAGTGCATTGTGACTGACATTGCGTCGCTGAGTGATGCAATCTCAGCCTGCATCATAAAGGCTGCATCCAGATACTATTGCACCAGACTGCTGTTGTGTTTGCGATAAGGAGGGACAAGGCTGAATCCAGCTTCTTATTTGCAGCTTCATATTGACTTTATCCGGTCCACCTTAAAAACCACAAGGCTTTTCAGCTTTTTATTTGCGCTCAAAAGGACACACTCAGCAAGGGCTTATTATGCGGTTCTGGCGCAATCTTGTGGATAGACAACATCAACCCTGTTTGGCCCCCGACAAGCTGTCTCTCAGAAATTGTAAATATTTTAAAATAGGCACTGTTCTTGCAAATAAACTGCATAGTTGCAATTTAAACAACTACATTCTCAACTAAAAAAGCCTCAAAAGTATATTTTGTTGTGTAACAGCAGTAATATTTGCTGGCTGTATTTGGTCAAAGTAATACACAAAGGGTAAAGAGGCTATCAGCCAATCAGATTTGAGATCCAGACAGAACTGTTGTATATATGTATATATATATATATATATATATATATATATATATATATATATATATATATATATATATATATATATATATATATATATATATATATATATATATATATATATATATATATATATATTTATATATATATAAGTCACTGGACTTGTTATTTTAGGGGTACTTATATATATCGCGGGCTGAAAAGTTTGAGTACCCCTGCTGTAAACTATCGACAAATTTTTTTTAGCTTAAATGGGCTAAAAATTTTTACCTTAACATTATTATTAAAAATTTTAAAAACTGCTTTTATTCTAGCCGAAATAAATCAAATAAGACTTTCTCCAGAAGAAAACATATTATTAGACATACTGTGAAAATTTCCTTGCTCTGTTAAACACAATTTGGGAAATATTTAAAAAATAAGAAAAATTCAAAGGGGGGCTAATAATTCGGACTTCTTCTTTTTCTTTACATCAGAAAAAGTGTCATGACCTATTTTTTGTCTCAGTGATGGTACACTTTAATAAGCGGATAGATTAATTTTTAACATAATTAAACTGCAGTTTTACTGTATTAATGGGACAGTTCACCTAAAAAAACTCTGTCATCATTTGCTCATGCTTTAATTGTTCCAAACCAATTTGAGTTTAAATAGACTGTTAACTAAAAGACAGTTGAAAACCTCCCAGATAGCAAAGAATTCGGGCCCATATTTGGCATAAATCTGGCCCAGCAGGCATCCATCCGGCACTGGCATACAGCATGGGTTTGGCAGAGGTGGCACCGTCTTTAAGAATGGCACAGAATACTTGGGCCAGATGTAAAATCTAGTATTTGGCTCAGATGTTAATAATTGACATGTGGGCCATGTAAGTTTGGCCTATCTTGACCCACATTTAAAATACATTTTTATTATTTTCAAATAAAGAAAAACAAAATCTACCTATTAGGTTGCTTCGAGAAAAAGGATACCCATAGCACACTTAAAGCGCAATGATTCATGGGTTTATCAATTTCATTGCAGTAGTAACACACCAAAATATCTTGCCCAGTTCAGGCTCAGTTATGGGTAGGCCCACAAGGAATCTGCGCGTGCAGAAGTGCGCAGATTTTTAGCCGATCATTAATTTTGTTTATTTATTTGTGTAAATGTGTGTACATTGATGTTATTTCAGTTCTAAAATTAATTTCAGTAATATTATTGACTAATATGAAAATATTTATATCATTTATTTTTAATACAGTTTGTAAAGTAATATTTTCTGTCTTTTAGTAGATATATTTTAGTAGATATATATATATAAGTGGAAATAATTGGATTGGCATTGTAAACATTAAATACAAGTTAAAAAGGTATTACTTTTTATGTTATATATTGAGGTTTTAGTTATGATACTCCCAAAATAATTCTGCAGAAATTTGCTAATTTTTACCAAAATTCTGTGCAGAAATAGCAAAAAATGTACGCAGATTCCGTCTGGCCCTAGTTATGGGTTATTAACTTGGCTGAAACTTGGCCCAGAAATGGTCCATCTTTGGCCCTTGTCTGAAAGCCACACTTGGTCCAGTCATGTACCATAATTTACTGCGGCATGTGGGCCAGGCAAAAGATAATTGTGTGGGCCAGAGCTGGGCCAGAGATATTTTGCTATGTGGGCTGTAACCATTAAGTTCCATATATTTTTTTTTCTAACTATGGATGTCAATGGTTTCCAACATTCTTTAGAATATCAACAGAACACAAAAATGGTTTAAAACAAGCCAAGGGTGAGTAAATAATGACATAATTTTGATTTTTGGGTGAACTATCCCTATATATTTTTTTATAAGAATTTTTTTTTTCTTGTCCAAAAATAGGGGAAAAATATTTCCCACCCTGACTCATTGGGAATATGGGCTACATTTTTGCAAACGTTACAAATCCAACAGCGGCTGAAAATTTTTTTTTTGTGATTCTCAAATACATTACTGTGCACAATTCAATTCAATTCATCTTTATTTCCATAGCGCTTTTACAATGTAGACTGTGTCAAAGCAGCTTAACATACAAATTCTAGTTAATAGAAACTGTGTCAGTCCAGTTTTCAGAGTTGAAGTTTAGTTCAGTGTGGTTTAATTTTCTGAAAGTCCAAACACTAAAGAGCAAATCCATCGATGCGCAACTCCACAAGGCCCAAACCAAGCAAGCCAGTTGCAACAGCAAATAAAATCACCTCACGTTCAACTGACTCGCACCCTTCCCTTAATCCAACCGATAGTGTTTTCAAAAGCAAAACAGGAAAAGTGGATCATGGGTTTTACCATCATTTTATTTTACATTGCTTTTTTACCTGGTTCCTGGAACCGTCCTTCACCAGACACAAACCCAGTCAGCCCCAAGTGCGACACTGTACAAGGCGAGCTACCGAGCAAACTGCTTTTATTTATCAATAATATATTCCTGTAAGCATCAGTAGTGTGAAAACAAAAGTAGTGCATTGGCATCATACCACATTCGTTTTACCCAGAAAATGCAGCCAAATGTAAGCTCAAGTATGTTTTTGTGGTTTACAAAAATGTGGCCTTGGCCTTGTATTTCAGAACGGGCCTTGATTGAAAAATGTATGAGCATGCATGAAATGTAGATGTTGAAAATTTAATTTTTCAACATAGGCTTATTCTGAAAATGTAGCCCTACTGTATATACATTTCTGGAGATCGCGAATTGTGTAGCCAGAAGTATGTATAGCTGCATTTCATCTATGAAACGAACGCTATGTCGCGGTATGATGCCATTCCTTTTTCTGCTACCAGCTAACCACTTGGCTCTATGTTGACAGCTTTTCCACTGTAACTTGTTTGTCTAAAGGCTCACCACGGATGGTGGAAAATTTGAGACACAGAGTTGACTGTGTCAACAAGGTTTGAGTCCAGTGAAGAACAGTTCCAAAAAGCAAGCAAGACAAGAACAAAAGTCAAAAAATAAATAAAACAAACAAGTAAATAACACGGTGAGAATGTGGTAAAATCTGAAAATGGGGTAAAAATCAGGCTGCTGTGAGGGCTTTACTGGATTGCTTTTCAAAACACTGTCATTGGGTTTAGGGAAGTGGGTGGACACTGGTCAATTGGTGCTTTTTAAAACACTATCGGTTGGGCGGATTTACACGAGAAGAGCAGGCTTGAATTGCACTTAAGAGAGAAATTTGAGATCTCAAAAAAACATACACAGAAGCCTCTGGTGGATTCGGGAAAACAAAAACTGCATAAAATGTAGCTCCTGGGACGTATTTGGCGCTTCCCAGAAATGTACACAGGGGTACTTAATCAGAACAAGCCTGGTTTGTAATTTTTAGCCCTTAAACATTATTCTTTTCATCCGAAGCATTAAAAATAAATAGAAATGTAAAGTCAGACAAGTGTGTTTTGATGGTGTGTTGTTCACTGTTAAATATCTGGCAATGAAGTATAATTAAGATTAGCAAGATTTACAAAAAAACTTATATATTATATAATAATGCTATATTAAATAGTACTTATTACCAACAATACTACTTTTCATATATAAATAGTAATTATTATTAATATTACAATATTAAATATTACTTATTACCAACATTAATTACCTGAATTCACAGATTCCGTGTCACCCACATGGACAAGAGAAACAGCCTTCACGGGTCAATGAATCTTCCTACCCCCAAGCCAGGAAACACATCGAATGACACAACGCTCTCAGACAGCAGGACGGGATTGAAGGAAACTTCACTGAAGTCTCAGGAGGAATACAACATCCGCAACATGTTTAAAGACTCTGGAGCAACTAACGGCAAAGTCCCAAATGTAGGCAAACGGAAGAAGAGTGTGACTTTGCTGGGCTTTTACAAGACTAGTAGTCCTGTGGAGATCAAAGCAGGGCCGGAAGTATTTGTGGAGGACAAAGAAGGATCAACCACTGCTGATCAGCTCTCCATCTCACTGGAAGAATGCTTGAGCTCCGTTCCGGTGTCTCCCTCTGACACTGAAGCAGCTTTAAATCAAAATTCAAATAAAGGTTCTGGTTATAAATTAGATGAGACTGTTAGGGAGAACAGCCCAGAGAAACAAAAGCCTGAGGATGATGAGACTTTAAATGCGAAATCGCAAGAGAAATTAAGTACGAGCACGGCAGAGATTGTTGATGATAGTTCTAAAGGATGCTCTAGATTTTCTGTGGTACGAACTGTGGAGGAGGCTGTCGTCATACCTGCAGCTGATACCGACAACAGAGGCGAAAGTACAGTACAACAAGATGACCCTAAGACTGAGCAAATTAGTCAGAAGAGTATAGACAGCAGCAAATAATCAGTAAACTAATAGACCATAGATATGATTACAGAATCCCAGCCCCACAAATATTAACGCCGGTCAGACAATCGTGTTTAAAGGAACACTTCACTTCAAAAACTCGCAAAAACTCACAAAAGTGTTTAGATAATTTTCCTACTTAAAGTTTGACTCTTCTGTAGTTACATCGTGCATGAAGACAGATACATTCATTCATTGATTTTCCTTTGGCTTAGTCCTAAGGACTGAGCCTGAAGGGACTATGTTTCTCGGCGGGCCTGGGAACGCCTCAGGATCCCCCTGGAGGACCTGGAGGAAGTGTCTGGGAAGAGGGAATGAATAATGAATGAATAATATAAAATAAATTGAATTGATTAAAAATGGTCAAAACTCAACTGTTTATCTCTAGGGAAGTGGTAAAATTAGTCTATTTTCAAAAACAGTATAGTGTCCTTTGAGAATGTGACAAGTTTTTGACCCTGGGCCACACAATGAGTCTTAAATTGCACATGTAAACTTGTGCGAATAGCTAAAAACGAATTGTATTCTGTACAAACTTCTATAGAATATTAAATAAAAATGTTATGTAAACATGTCATGTCATGCACTCAAAATATGACTTTTGCTGCTTAAGTTTTTTTGAGGGACAACTCTTAAATTTGTATAAATGATTTGGTTAACTTAGTCTATTTGTGTTGTGACAACATGAAGGACCTATGTGGAACCCGGCATTTTTTTTCAGTATGTGTACATTACTAAGCACTTCAATTTGACAGGTTTAAAGGTGATTCTTTCAATATTTCGATTTTTTGGATCCCTCAGGTACAGATGTTCAAATAGTTGTATCCCAGTCAAATATAGTCACATTGTAACAATCCAAACATCAATATAAAGCTTATTTAGTTAGCGTTTATTTGATTTCAATTTCCAAAAGTTGTAAGACTTAAGACTGGCTTGTGGTCGAGGGTCACATATGGAAAATGTATCAATTGTCATTACTCTGCTTTTACTAACAATACACTTTGTACATAACTAATTGCATATCCAATCTATATATATATATATATATATATATATATATATATATATTTATATATGATGCGCCTAATAGAAAAGCAATGGCTAATAAATAAACAGTTCAGCCAAAAGTTAAACTCTGCTATTAATTTAATCACTATTAAGGCCGTCTGAGGTGTAAATGACTGTCATCTCCTCTCCAGTCTAGGGTTGGGAATGTGAGTGACAACGATGAAAGAGAAAAAAATAAAGGACTGACTATTATCAACTATGCTCTCCTGTCACCAGTCACAGTTGTTGCAAAGTTTATAAAGAATGTTCTTAATTTGTGAACCCCCAGTGCTTGGAAACACCTATACACTCTCATACACTATGCCAAATTTCATGTTTTCTTTCAGCTTAGTCCTTTTATTCATTAAGGGTCGCCACAGTGGAATGAACCACCAACTTATCCAGCATATGTTTTATTCAGTGGATGCCCTTCCAGCTGCAACCCAGTAGTGGAAAGAGATCTCTTCTTTAACAGCACCACAGTGGAAAATGAAGCAGCATCCATGCTGACTGGCCTGCATTGGCATAGAATGGAAGGTTTAAACAAACAGAACCGTCTGGCCAGATATTGGAAAAGTTGCTAGTGTCTCTTTTAGTTCAGTGGTACAGGTATTTTCTTTCAGAGGCACAATCTCAACCAGTTCTTTCAAAATTTGCAACGCATGCCTAATGACAGCTATTGCACCCTTAGATTGATTGGGATGATATCGATTAACTCAACTCTTTCAGCATCTCACACTTTGGTCTTTTACACTGCATTTTGTACCTATTACCTAGGCTACTGCTACTAGGCTACCAAAACAATGCTGATCGTGATTGGTCGGCGAGAATCATTACTAAAACCATTATTATCAGCATCATTACTTGGTTAACCCAGAATGAAGACGATGATGCCATGGTAGTACAGGCATCCAAACCGTAATGATAATCCCACCAACTTTAAACGATACTGACCATCAGTGGAAATGCAAACCAAGCTGAGCAAAACAAAAGCAAGCTGAGCTGTGCCAAACTGCACCATACTGTGCAACAGAAAAACAGGTTTAGATCAGGACCCTGAATTTGCCATTTTATTATTTCAATGTTTTCAGTTTTAATGAACTGTTGTTTTTTCCCCCATTGAGTACATGTGTCATGAAGTTTACTGACTGATTGAATGATGGACAACAACAAAAAAAAAAACAAAGGAGCTTCACTTTGCATTTACTTGTAGATGTTTAAGTAGCCAACTCCTGCAGCAGAAAACATCTCCAAAACCATGAAACTTCTGTAGAGACAGGACAATCCACAGCAACTAGAGTCGTGTCTTTATTAAGAGGAGACAAGCAGTGAATCCGGATCTCACCATTTGCTGAAGAGAAAAGCTTTCAGGTCAATGTTTCTTTGACACGTAAGTTATTGTTGTCGCGTGCACTGTAATCCAAACGTGAGTCCAGCTGCGCTCTCATAGAGAGAAAATGAAAACAAAACCTTCACTGCAGCAAATTATAAAAGCAACACTGCACGCCTGTTTTGCCAACACAACGTGGCGTCTCTGCCGTCTACACTGTAACATTAATGAATATTAATGACGTTGCACAATAGAGTGCGCTGATTGGTTTGAACCAAGCCCTACTCATGCATTAATGCAGCACACTCTGAGACGTAATACACACTCCCAGGTACAGACGTCCAGTCTGCATGCTGGAATACACACTAAGATCTCATGGCCATGACAGAGCTTCAAAAATTCGTTTCAAACTCGAAAAAACTTAAAAACAACCAATTTTCACTTTTTAGTGGGATATGTGTCCTAATAGTGTTTTTAGCAGTTTGGGACACATATACAACTCTTAACAGCTCAAAAAATGTGTTTTGGTGTTTCGTGACCCTTTAACATATATACAGTCTGCACTCCAGAAGATGCACCAATGAATATAAAGCAAACCACTACAAAAACAAGGTGATCTGTGCAATTCAAATGGGATATATTGCCCTCCAAAGAGCACTTCAGAGTGAAAAAAAGATGGCTGCCATACTGAACTGTTGTTCTGAACTGAAGGGCCCTTTGAAATGAAGCATTTTGAAGAATAGACCTGATAGACACTTGGGGCAGGGGAGATGTTTGGTGTCACACACTGCATTCAATCACCCGCTTTAGCTGGATTTATACTTTCGCTTGGCACCACATTGCACACCTCTGCTGACTGCGCACACACCTCGCGAATTCATTCATTTATTTTCTTGTCGGCTTAGTCCCTTCACTAATCCAGGGTCGCCACAGGGGAATGAACTGCCAACTTATCCAGCAAGTTTTTACGCAGCGGATGCGCTTCCAGCCGCAACCCATCTCTGGGAAACATCCACACAGACATTTACACACACACTCATACACTACAGACAATTTAGCCTACCCAATTCAACTGTACTGCATGTCTTTAGACTGTGGGAGAAACCGGAGCACCCTGAGGAAAGCCACGCGAACGCAGGGAGAACATGCAAACTCCACACAGAAACTACCTACTGCGCCACTGCTTCGAGTTGAAGGTTTTTAAACTTGCTGCGTTCGCCTGTGATATTCTTTAAAACGACAGGGGGCAGTCAAAAGAAACTGACCGTAAAGTCAGACAGATAAACAGAGAAGTAGAACCTTTCTGGAACTACGTCATCATGAATATCATTCAATACTCTTAAACTAGTTATTTTTATAAATTATTTTAATGATTATAAAGATTTTTTTAACCATTTAAGATTTTTTTAAAATCCAACTTTAATGCATTACTTGCTTTTGTTCATATCTCAGACAGTTGTACCTATTAAACTTTATTAAAATATTAATGACAAGAGAACATGGGTTGCTTTACAAATATATTTTTTATAATGGCAAAAATAAATACAAAAAAGTTCACCTACTAAAAAATACAGATTTTTTTTTTTTTTTTTTTTTAGATTTAGCCCGCTCCACATTTCACACATTACTGTCTGGCTAGTGTGTCCTCTACTGATATGATAAAAAACCTACGATAGGTTCAAATATTCCTTTCCAGTTATCAAAGAATTAATTTGTTTCTTAATTACAGTTTTGTAACTATTAAACTGTTTTAAATTAAAAACTGTAACATATACATGAGTGTAAAACCTGTGCCTGGTGAAAAAACATATTCTGTAATTGTTTACCTGAGTCTCCACTTTTGCCATGACTTCTTTTGGCTTTAACAAACTCATCTCTCAGGTTTTCCTCAGTGCCATCCCATTTACCAAAAACGTTCCTTCTTTCCCATGGCTGTTGCAATTTCTAGCCAAGAATTATTGGTCATCTGGTTGTCTCTATGATCACTGATCATAAAGCTGTCTGTACAGTTGTATTGTTTCAGACTACATCTATTCAAAAAGTGATTCATACTCAACTCAAATCAAACGCGGCGCCGTGTTCGCTCAAGTCTCAAATAAAATTGTGCACTCCCCCGGCCAAAATCATGTCGTGCGCACCCAAAGCGAACCTTCGCAAACTCCGCAATGATGTCACATTCGTCCCACACACTCTAGCGAACTAGCGGATGCATCGGAGAACTCCAGATCCAGATAAGTTTTTAAATTACTGTGACAGTTGGGTTTAGGGTAGGGGTAGACATTTATAAAATACAATTAAAATTTAAAAAATAATAAATAATTCTCGTTAACTTCCGATTGCAGCCATATGTAAACTATAGCTTATTATGTGGATGGATGATAACAGCCTTCTGAGCCTACCAGTAGGCGCATTCAAAAAACTTTGCCCATTTGAATATTGAACAATTAATAATAATAAATAAATAATAATAATTAATAAAAAATAATAAGACCCGGATTAATTAAGGTGGGCGACGCAGTGGCACAGTGGGTAGCATATTATAGCTCACAGCAAGAAGGTCGCTGGTTCGATCCTCGGCTCAGTTGGCGTTTCTGTGTTGAGTTTGCATGTTCTCCCTGCGTCCATGTGGGTTTCCTCTGGGTGCTCCGGTTTCCCCCACAGTCCAAAGACATGCGGTACAGGTGAATTGGGTAGGCTAAATTGTCTGTGTGTATGTGTGTGTTTATGTTTCCCAGAGATGGTTTGCGGCTGGAAGGGCATCCGCTGCATAAAAACTTGCTGGATAAGTTAGCGGTTCATTCCACTGTGGCGACCCCGGATTAATAAAGGGACTAAGCTGACAAGAAAATGAATGAATGAATGAATGAAAAATATTAATAATAATGTATGATTTTTCTAGCTTCTCTTGTATAAAGTACATTTGAAAATTCATGGACAACAACAACAGCCTAATTAGTAAAATGTGGTTAGTTTTTCTTTGAATAATAAGGTCCAAGATTTACAATAAATTAAGTTCCTGGTAAAATGTTTTCTCTTAACAACAATAAAGTATGTTCTTAGTGAAAGATGACTTCATTTACGTCAGATTCCATGAGTTATTTACACAATTTTTAATGGTTTAGCAGTTGTAGTATACAACAGCAGTCAAAGTAGGACAAATGATCTCATGTATGGGACAAATTCTGGACCTTTGTCAGTAGGGGTTGGGTCTTTAGAACCACCTGAACCCACCATAGTTAAAGCAATGTGTTTGCTATGCTTGTCTTACTAGATCACTGTCTATTGAGATAATGCAGTTTTCCTTTTCCTTAATGTGTTCAGAATAATGAGAATACTTCCATTATAGTGAAATGTTAGGCCCTGGATCTTGGTTTCTGTCTGTTCCCGCATTCTCTCATTGAATGCAGGACTGATTGTGACTAAGTTCATTTTAATTCAACTTTAACTTTAACTAATGTTACATTTTCAGAAAAGTAATTCAAGTATTATTATTTTAATTTTTAAGTAATGCATTACTTCTTACCTTGAAAAGTAATATTACTTAACTTGCGTTACTTATAATGCATTACCTCAACACTGTTGACTAGTATTATATTTTACAAAGATTAAATTACACGTTACAATAAAGTATTAGTTATATATTTTAAAGAAGCAGGGTTGATGGTCAGAATATAAAGATCAGTTTTCGTTTTTTTTTTTAATAATTAAAAACTAAATCCCCTGACGCTCCACAGTCCATCCTAGTAGGTGGCGGTATAGCCTACATCTATAACTGGGTTACCAGTAGCCATAAAACAGACTAGAAGAAGAGACAGAGGAAGAAGAAGAAGAAGAAGAAGAAGAAGAAGAAGAAGATTAAGAAGCATCTCTGTCGATAACGCTAAACTAGACTTCTCTCAAATATTAATGTTAAAATGTAGTGCGACGGATAACAGCTTTGACCTGCACGCGCTGATACGTGTCATGTGCGTTTTGATTGTTGTAGAAAGAAGTGCCCAAGTCTTACACGTTGGACGGTTTTTATTGCATTATTATAGCTGTTATCATATATAATGATTTTATTGACTGTGTTTTATATAGTCGCTAGATACACCCCCAAATACGAAGGGCATTGAGTGGATATCTACTGCTACTTTGTAAATACACTGTAACACTTGAGCCTCAAATATTAGTTGGATAACATGACTGACCGCTTCAACAATCAATAAGTTACATTTTCTATACATTGTTGAAATTACTTACATCAAGGCATGATTTGTAACGTTACATTTCCGTCAGCGGCGTCGATTATTTTGATTATTGAGAAATTGGCGTCGACACGCTGCTAGCTCAGACGGCGAGCAATTTATTCGGTTGCAAAACATGTAGGGAGAAGATGAGTTTAAGAGTGATTCTTGACGCAGTGTCATTGGGTAGACTACATGCAAAAATCCAGTAGAGTACTAAATGGATAAATAATGTACAACAAGTACAACTGGGAAGTCAGTTTTAAGTTTAGTCAGCGGATTCTTCTGTCTAGCATACTACATAAAAGCACAGGTACGTGTGAATGATTATTTATCTATTACTAACTCCAATACTAATGACATATTTTGGATAGATATCATGTCCTGTTACACAGCAGGGAAATTATTGAGGTAAAGTTGGTTTTAGTGACAACGTGTGACATGTTCCCTGTATTGTTTACCATGGTACTTTCAATATTCGGCCTGAAATCACACGTATGAATGACTTCAAAACAACATTAGCTCCATTTGATTGACTGTGAGCAATGTTGTACTTTGATAGTCACTGGCTGCGAGTTATTCACTATTTAGTATTAACAAAGAATATATTTCTAAAGTTATATTATTAAGGATAAATTCTGAACGTGTGAATATTAAAACAACTTTACCATGACCCTTTAACTACCCCACCAAAAAAAAAAAAAAAAAATGTTTGGATTGCATTTCTTAACTCCTAATGTCACTAGTTTATATACACAATGCACTTTTTTCAACACATCCCATAATTTTTAAAATATCAACTTCTACCAAATGGTTGATTTGTCTATTTATGGTAAAAGTACCAGAATAAATGCATATACTAAGAAAAATCTGAAAATATGAAGTGTAAGAGCAACTTAAGTAAAAAAATATTCAAAATAAAAAACATGTTTGAATACTAAATCACATTTTTTTAAGTATGTCATAAAATATTTCAGATTCTCATTTAACATGTTTTTTTTTCTTTTCTTTTTTTTTTACGGTAAAATCAAAATCAAGTGTAGTAGTGCAACAGGATGTTTGTTATTTTTTTATAGATTTTTTTTTCTTTTGTAAACCAACAATGCTGTGTGTGTAAGCCTTTATTTAAAACACGGCACATGTTTTGCATATAGCTGATCATTTAACCTTCTCCGTTTGTGCTGCTTTTAGAATAACACTTCCGAAACGTGAGCAGGTTGTGTGGTTTCTGTGGGTTGCATTTAAAATGTTCCCTATACCCTTAAATAGTGCACTATTTAAGGGAGCAGCCATTTCTAGTGGTGTCTGAAACGGCATGTCATGATTTTGCAAAGTATGATGTGTTCCTGAATTAACATCTGTGTTGATCCTGGAACATCATTTTTTGAAAATGTAATCCATACCTATTCCTAGGGATGGGTATTGTTTACCGTGATGGGTACAACTTATTGGTTCGATATTTTAACGGTTCTCTTATCTGTAATTTTTGTAGTAAAAAAAAAATTGAACCGAAGTAACAAAATTCTGTAAAATAAAGCAAAACCAATAATTGTAAAAGAAATCAATACATTTTTTCCTGTTAAAGAACGTACAATGGTTTGAAGGAATTTGACCGTTTTTAACCTTTTTTCTTTTGGTAAAAAATTAACATGTTTGCTTTTTCTTGCAGAAGTCGGTGTCTTGGTTTATTGTGCTCCCTGCAGTTAAAAATATCCTCTGAGTTGCAAAATGCAGTTAAATAATCAGATAATCTTTATGATTTTTCATTAACGCATTCACATAAATGAGTCACCGGTGTTTTGGGAGTTAACAACAATAAAATAAGCATTTTATTTTAAATGTTTTAATATTAATAGTTTATTATTAGACTATATTTGTAAATACATTTTCATTGTAACAATGTGTGTGTTTATTAAACTAATAATATTATACTAATTTGGAGAGATCTTATGTGATTGGCAGTGTTATGGGGTTTTGTGCTCTAAGCACCATTGACTGCTAGAGCTCAGACATGTGCGGAGCATGTATGTGTTTGTTTGTTTGTTCGTATGTGGTCACGTGATGTGCGTTTTCTGCAGTATAGTATGGACGGAAAGATCTTTTCAGAAATGCTAAATGAAACGCCAGTGTGGACTTGGATCATTTTCGTTTTAAAATTACATTTTAAAACTAAGACATATTAGTGTAATCAAAAAAGTGTGTGTTTTTTTTTAACGAGCGGGTTGCTGCTGTGACGGGGGCGGGGTGGAGGATCGCTATGACGGCTCAGCATTGTGATCTATCGGTCATCTACGATGGCATTGTCTATCATATCAACCCAACCTTACCCCAAAACCCAAACGTCACAGTGATGTAAAAACAGTCGTTGTATCAAATATTATTTGTTATTTATTAAATTACCCATTAAATTGTATTCTTTAATGTCTACCCCAACCCTAAACCCAACCTTCACAGTTCTGTAAGAATATTATCGATTGTTGTACATTGTCACAAAAATGATGCTATATTAATGTGTGTATCCGCAGCTGTATCCCATCTAGACTTTACCGTATACTTGACATGTCACCATAGAAACTTTAAAATGCAATGGATTCAAAATAACGGTCACAATAAAAAAACTCGTGCAGAAGGGTCAGCTGGAGTATTTAAAAATCACGCGTGAAAAAGTTAAAAAAATGTATTATGTTTTTTAAATAATAAAAACACCATCACATTTATTCTCTCTATTAGATGGTGTTCATAATTCACACTATTTTTAGTGCCTGCAATAACAGTAATTAGCATATTTCTTACTGCAATTGCTGACAGTTGTCTAGCTACCTTAAAATACCTTTCTAAAATTGTACATCATCTTTCAATGTGTTTTTTAAAAATAAAATAGCATAGTTCAATTATATTAAACAATAAGTCAACTATGGAATGATATGTTTAAAGGAAGTCTATCATCACTACTTTAGTCAACTGCAACACACTTCTCATTCATCAGTTTATTGTATGGTTGTAAGTGGTTAAGATATTTAAAGTGCTTCCTCTGTTTCATGCAAATTGTTTTAGTTGAGCTCATCGGTTAATCAGAACTTTGGTGCCATTCTGTTAGATTACCGTTTGATGCACAGCCATATGCTTTCTTTTTCATAGTTTGACATCTGCACTATTTTAGTTGATCAGTTTGTTCTTATTTTCTGCTTTTGGTTTCAGTTCCTCCACACACAAGTGAAGTGAAGATCTCTTATTTTGAGCATAAGTAGTAAACCGAGGACTTGGTGTTGAGGAACCATGAGGAGAGTCATGAAACAATCCAGCTGTTATTTCAGGTAAATTGTAGACCCAAGGTTAATGTCTTTTTTTCTTAATGCTAATGTTTTAATTGAAGTAACTTATCCTTTTTTCCCTAGCAAACGGACGATGATTCTTCTTCTGAGCTTGGCTTTGATGTCACTGGCGTTTTTAAAGCTGCCTTCCTTTCATACGGAACTAAAACCTGTGGAAGTGCCTGTAGACAACAAATTCAGAAAGGTAAGTCGTCTTTTCATGACATTTTTACAGGAGTTCTCACATCAATGGGGTATATTCACAGCTATGCACACTGCCAAATGACAAAAGCGCAGTATTATAAGTTGAGAGCGCATTCATATAATACGAAAGAGCGAATATTTTTGCTCACGCGCTGGTTTCCTCTGTTCGTGGACAAAACTGCTCGCGAGCTCTCAAAACACTGGCTGCTCGCGTACAAATTATCTGCTCTCGCTCCATCGGATGATGCGGACTCACAATTTTTGTGTCTTGTGTTTCCTCTTCCTTTCGTGCTTTTGCTCTCCAGAGATCCTTCTGTTAAATTGGTTATTTCAAGAATGTTGATGTGGTTTGTATATATTGCTAGACTATTTATTAACAATACACAAAATCTAAAAGGTTAAGATAAATTCTATAATAAATTCTAGTGGTTTTGAGTGTTGGGTATACTGCCTGTTTTAGGCTAGTTTTATTTACAACTTGTTAATAAAGGCTTCACCATACTGTAGTATTAACAATAGTGAACCGATAAAATGAAATACAGTGTAGTTACAGTAAAGTGTGGTGAATTGTAGAATAATAAACCCTATATTGTAAAAAAAAAAAAAAAATACAGTTTGTTTATATTACACTTGTTGTGTTACCATTGCAACTATAGTATTACCACAACAGAGTAATTGAAGTACTTCACCATAGTACTGTTCATAACACTGTACATGGCAATATACTTGTTTAGTGGCCCTGTGGAACAGCTTTTCCTCAAAATTTAGAGGATGACAATCTTATCAATGTGGAAGAGAGCAGAGACTAGTTCCCTTTATTTTAGTTGCCTTGATAAAATGGGATTGATAGTGAGATTTATTTGAAGAGTGAATAGTGCAGTAGGCTATAATACCTAATCAAAGTTTCCCCTATTTTCTATCACAATTACATTTCTGCTTGCATTAGTTTTATTTAAATGTTTTTTTATTAGTATGGTGCACCTTTTGGATGTTTAATAAATGTTTTTAAATTAAAACTGTTCTCTGGATCTTTAAGGGATTGAAACTGGAAATATCTCATCATATAACCTACAGCCAAAAATGTATGGTTTATTAGTTTAAAATGTAATATGTAAGTCTATTTTAGTATTTTGGTTATTGATAATAAAGTGTACTAATATAAATCTTATCAAAAAGCACGAAAGGAATAAGGAACACAAGACACATTGAGTCTGCATATAATCTCACTGAGCGAGCAGTGAACTGAGAGCGCGCAAGAAAATTGAGCAACGGATTATATTTGAGAGCTCGCACACAGTTTTGTCCACGAAGAGAGAAAATCTGTGCACGAGCAAAGAGATTCGCTCGGTCGTATTACATGAATGCACTCTTGACTTGAAGTACTGCACTTAGGACATTTGTCGGTAAAATTACGCCATAGCGGAGCTCACAGAATTTTTTTAAACTCAGGTGAACAGTTCACATGGCCCAGCATTTGATTTGAGTTGAATATGAAATGCTTTGAAGAGATTTTGTCTGAAACCGTACGACTGTACAGACATCTTTTTGATCAGTCCATGCGTGTTCATAGGGAGAACCAGATGGCCAATAATTCTTGGCAAGAAATTGAAACAGCAGTGGGAAAGGAGGAAAGTTTTTATAAAAGTTTGGGGAAAACCTGAGGGATAAGTTTGTTAAAACAAAAAAAAAGAAGCCCCAAAACATCTTCAATGATATTAATGATATGACCTAGTTCTGGTAACTTCCTACTTCTCTGTTTATCCGTATGATTTTACAGTCCCTTGACCGCCCTCTGTCATTTTAAAAAAATATCTCAATGGCAAATGCGTCAAGTTTAAAAGCCTCCTTCGTTTCGCCTGGTGCGCTATGTGGCACCTGGCGAAAGTATAAAATTAGCATTAGGATGTTTGTTTGTTTGCTTTTTCTGTAGTTCAATGGAGCATCTATCCTGTCTTTAGTGCTGTTCAATTTGAATACATTTATTTTACCACTAATTTCGTGATTTTTGCATTTCTCTTTGTGTATGCGTGTTTTTGATATTGTGATAGGTCTTACATTTAATACTTAATGGTCTTAAAAAGGTCTTAAAGTCTTAAATTTGACATTATGCTATCTGCAGAAACCCTGTCAAATCGGCGTAATCAGAGAATTGAACTGAAAACGGACAGGAAGTGCATTTTGAATTTTAATTTTAGATTAGAAGGCACAGATGAATTGTTTACCACAAAACTAGCAATGCAAGCTAACAAAATTATATGGTTAGTTTTGATTTAATGTGTACTTTAAGTGTTACAATTTGGGATTCATTTTATAATGTACACTGCATAAAACTGTGAATCGAAAACTGAACCAATAACACTTACTGCAGCAACACTGCTGGTGGTTGCTCAGAAAATTTGCCATTGTCACTTCCTGTTGTCACATTTATGTGATGTTTTTACAGTGGTGAAAGAGACACCGCAGAGATGTCTGTATGTGCATTCACACGTCTTAGATGCTTATTAAAATCATTTGCACATAAGCGCAGAAAAATTATGATACATTGTGCAGTACCCCATAAAATAAGATTTGTTAGTTTAGATTTGAATGGGCCTTTTCATAATCAAAATATTTGACTTTTATTTAAAATTAAATTAGTTTAAATTGTCATTTAAATGTATGTGTTTAAACAGTAGGGTTTTTTTCTTTTTAAAATCATTTTAGATTTTTAAACAAATGTTTTTATTTGTTTTGATGGAATATCAGGGTTATACCACCAAGCATTAGTTTCTAAACTTTGGTTTTTGTGTGGTTCAAAAATAAATATAAAGTAGTGCTGCACAATTTTGGCTAAAATAAGAATCACAATTTTTTTGCTTAAAATAAGGATCACGATTTTCTTACGATTTGATAAATGTAAAATAAAGATTAATATGAGTAAGCTATTATTATTGTTATTTCTCAAACATATGGTAAAACAACAATAATACTATTATTATGTGTATGTATACTGTTGGTTAAAATGCTAAATTTTAAAATATACTTTGAATGGTGGGCTTGAACAGACTTTAAATTCAGTCTTGGACTGGTCATTAATGCACAGTAAAGGGATGATTCCTAATTCTGATGTTGAATTGTTGTGTTTGAGATATAGGCTTGCCATCTGTCATTGACAACATTATTAGACCCTTTTATTCACTGGTAAAATCAAACATTTTTCATTATCAGATTCCCTCTTGCATTATATTTAACATTGTATAGGCTAGAGTAGTTATACTGACACTGTTAAACATTTATTTTCATGCACAACACTTTGTGTTCACTATGAAAGAAAAACATTATAAATGCTTATCGCAATCATAACTCTAAAATGTGATATGATTGTTTAAATGATGTGCTCGCTTTCGGTTACATTTTCACTGCTAATGGCCCGTTTCCACTGAATGGTACGGCACGGGTCATCTTGATCAGGCTTGCGCTTCCACTGCTAAAAGGGCACCAATAATACCCTTTTGGTGGGCATGGTGTACGAAAGAGTTTTAGTCAACATCATTTTCGCTTGAGAAAATATCTACAGTAAAGTTGTACGGTCAGGGTTCAACGCTAAGGATTTTTTCTACTGGCCCGATTGGGCCAGTGGTTCTGCTTTTTACTTGCCCTGCCAAAATTTTCACTGGCCCCACCAAAAAAAAAAAAAAGAAGTTATTAGCCCCTTTAACACATACAGACCTTTCCGGAAAATTGGGAAAGGTTGTATGTGTGAACAGGCCCTTTTTGAAAATACCGGTAAATTCGTTCTGGCTATTTTCCAGAAAGAGAAGTTGTAACATTATCGGCAATTTGCCGGAATGCTGCGCTGTGTGAATGCAGAAGGAAGATTGCCGTAATAAGCGCGTGCACGTCTAGAACGTGCTGATGTGAGACGTCTGCTTAAGCCAATCACAACAGTCAGACGCATTCACGTCCGCGCGGTTTGTGAGAATAAAAGCCTGTTAATATTTTGAAAGACACATTTAGCTGCTAGAAGTTAGTCAGATCACGTTTATATGTTCTTCTTTATGCCAACTGTGTAAAATAATCATCGATGAGATGCTTATGATAAGCCGTTGTTTGTTTACCTTCAAGCTTTGCGTGTGCCTGTAAAACAGCCCGTGAGCGCCTGCACACGCACATATTATGAACATCTCGACATGCGAAAGTGATCCTGCGAAAGTTGTTCACAATATTGATCATCCAGAGTTTGTAATTTAGTCAAATGTTTACAAATACAAGCGCAGCCGTTTAAAGCTCATTTGTGGTGATTGATTTTTACCGGTATTTTGGAATGGATGTGTGAATGCTCTTTTTCAGAAAATTTCCGTAACGTCCTCGCCTGTGTGAACAGCGCTTTTGTGAATATACCGGTAAAGTCGTTCCGGAAATTTTCCAGATATTTACCGGTATCACTGTGTGAAAGGGGCTAATAGCTATTTGACTGTGTGTGTGTGTGTGTGTGTGTGTGTGTGTGTGTGTGTGTGTGTGTGTGTGTGTGCGTGTGCGTGTGCGTGTGCGTGTGGTTATGGTAATTAGGCAAGTTATTGTATAACGATGGTTTTTTCAGTAGACAGTCTGAAAAACAATTAGCTTAAGGGGCTAATAAATTTGACCCTAAAATGGTTCATAAAAAATTAAAAACTGCTTTTATTCTAACCAAAATAAAACAAATAAGACTTTGTTCAGAGGAAAAAAATATTATCAGACATACTATCAACATTTCCTTGCTCTGTTAAACATCATTTAGGAAATATTTTAAAAAGAAAAAAAACAACAAAGGGGGCTAATAACTCTGACTATATATATATATATATATATATATATATATATATATATATATACAGTTGCAGTAATTTTTAAATGTTTTTAAGGAAAATTATTCAGTTCATCAAGGCTACATTTATTAAATGTAAAAAATTTTAAATTGTTACATATTTATCAAGTTTAAATAACTGCTTTGTTATTGTATGTAGTTTCAAATCAAATTGTTACTCCAGAAATTATTGCTTTTATTACTATTACCATTAATAAATATAATAATAGTTAATATTAGTGATTTCTGAAGGATCATGTGACTTGAGTAATGAAGCTGAAATTCCATCTTTAAAATAACTGGAATAAATGAATAAATTAAATGATAAAGTACTTTTGAACAGTTATTTAGTGCAACATTTCACAATTTGTATTTATGATGAAATAATTGCAGCCTTGGTGAGCAGAAGAAGCTTATTTTAACATATTTAGCAATCATACTGACCCCAAACTTTTGACAAGTTGTGTATAGAAGCGAAAATGTGCACTTTAATTTTAACAACCCACAGACATAGTCACCAAATACAAATCAGAGAGGTCAGACTTTCTTATACAGAGCCTCATTTCAATTGTCAGGTTTTGTAAAATCTATTTATTGAATTAATCAATCTATTAAAGAAACGTTGGCTAGAATTCTGCATTTTAGGCTTAAATTATAGAGACATGCTGATCAATGTTGATCTTTCGAGCTGTCAGTGCAGAAACGAACAAAACAACTGGCCTAACACAACATGTTATACGATTAAAATATGGAAAAAATGATCAGATAGTAATGTCGGTCATTTTTCCTAACGGATAAACCGAGATCAGGCTGGATAAACGGCTCTCGGTAATATTTCAGCATGCTTTCACTTTCGCATTTACCGGTAAGAATGACATCTCGCCCTGCTCATCATTCTCTCTTCATATAGCCGTATATATGGCTATTACACAATCATAATACACTGTGATATAGCCTGGGTCGTTAGTTCGTTGCATTGTTTTGTTTTCTCACTACAATCGATCCGCTCAGTAGGGCAGAGACCGTCTCATTCAGGCGATCTCGGACTGATTGATTTGGCGCGGATGCGAGCGCAACTGCTGGATATATGCCAAACAAACCGCGCTAACGGGGAAAACGAGACAGGTTCTGAAACAAACGTCTATGTGTGAAAGCACTGTAAGATTGTATTTGCACACAATTGACAGACAGTCGCAGCATGCAGCTCTGGCTCGATGTGGCAGGCAACAAGACAGCACTGGCCCGATCGGGCCAGAAACATTCTATACACTGGCCCGAGCGTCTCGTACGCTGGCCCTGGGCCATCGGGCAGTCCTTATTGTCGAGCCCTGACAGTGTCGCTCACATATCATATGAGAAGCACTTCACACAAAACAGATGCTTTATACACATAAATAACTTTTCTATGAACATGAGTTGATTATAACTGCAAATCAATGACAGTGCGAAATAGTCTACTGTAACATCTGCAATTACAAAAAAAATAAATAAATGCAACATATATGAACACATTCAGCAGCACATGTAACCTTTGTTAGAGTAATTCCATCATTCTGTATAGTCATCATAATGGTCCAAAAGGTGATAATAGTAGTTAAACAAGGCAGTTTGTTCATGTTTGCTGAAAAAATATTGTGCTCCTTTTTTTACGACTTCTCCTTTTTTTTTTTCGCACTTCACTCTCGCGTTAGTCAGTTTCTGATAGGATAGGGTTTCAAAAGCACGTCAATATTTAAGCGCATGTTATTATCATCAGCTCAAGAGGTTTGTTAGTTCAAATATAGATGCGCGGCAATTCAGGCTGGCTCATGAAAAAACGAAGGGGCACAGGGTAAAGCTGCTCTTCTTTTTGGCTTTGTGGCTGTTCATCAAGACTACGACGAGGTTTGTTTGAGCCCGGGTCGACCATGGCTCAGTATTATATGTATATATAATTCCTCTGTAATCTCTCAGCTGTGTATTTTAAACATTTATTATGTGTTTTTTATTTTCATTCTGGCTTGTTGCGTAAGCGAATGACGTATCTCTGTACACCAATAGCGTTCAGCTGCGCCTCTAGCTCTGCCTTTTGGTACCCTTTCTCATGTTTGGTACCCTTTCGAAAGGGTGCCGAAAAAGTGGTACAGTACGTTTAGGTTTGGTACACCTTTTGATAGTGGAAACGACCATAAAAAGCGTACCAAACCAAACCGTACCATACCACTCAGTGGAAACGGAACATAATACAATAAACCATTTTAAAAGTTGTAACAGTCTTTCAGGTAGAATCTAAAAAAAAAGTAGTGCCTGTTGAAATTTTATTTATTTATTTTTAATCACTGCATGTTTCACTTGCAGCGTGTCCATTCTCATGTCCGAGAGATACTAGACAAAGAATGCAGACCTTCCTTTGCCCGGCAGAGAATGGTGACTGAACATCATGGCTCCACACCAACAATAGATCCTTTTTTGAACAAGAACATGAAGTTAGATGAACAAATATTCCAGTATCCTCCACCCTTTGGGTTCCTGGACATGAAGAACAAGCTTGAGGAAATCCTAAACCTCTTACCAGTTTCTTCTGAACAGAGGCTTGGGGAGCGAGATTGTCGACGCTGTGTAGTGGTTGGGAATGGAGGGATACTGAAAGGATTAGGACTCGGACATCTACTTAATCGTTTCGATATTATCATCAGGTAAGAATGTGCTCCTCCTAATCTGTGATTTATATATTGCTCTGAAATGGCAAAGAGGAAAATCATTTCTACCGTTAACAATAACTAAGTGAATTCTGAATATGAATGCAAACAGAGTTTAAAGTGCAAGCTTTTAAAATATGTTTAAAATATATGTAATTATTACCAGAACACAGGGCTTTGTGAGAAGTCATGCTCTTGTATTACATTACTTTTTACTTTTGCTAATTAGTTGACAACAAAACGAACAATGGCAAACTGCAGTATAGTACAACAATAGCTATGTTTCCATCCAAAAATGTGAATTTAATGTATGCACAAAACTGGAAAATTGCATAAAAAATGTGCAGATGAAGCAGCGTTTCCATCCAATTTGCTGTGGTAGGAGAAGCTCCGTAAATCTTCTCTTCTTTTAATAAATGACCTGCACCTCAGAAGACAATGCCGACACACAATAAACGCATGTTAGTGTTTGAAGGCGTGAGACGCGGAACACAGAGGCTCTTGACAATTCTGGAGGTAATTGGGGACAGGCACCAAAGCTGATGTGCACCTATTTTATCTGTTCCAGAACTTATTATTCTCCCGGCTTCTTCTTACTCTTCTTTATCTTCCGCTCTGGGAGTCTATGGCAGCCCTATGAACATTTTGCAGCATTTGCGCAAACTCTGCAACACTGCTAGAAGACAGTCTGATCTGCAACTACAACAAATTTAGAGTCTCTAACTTAAACTCTCCAGTGCCACCACTTGTCCGAAGTTTCTCTTATGTTTATCGTTATAACTTTTGAACCCAATGGGCTACAATCAAAATAATTTTTTCCTCTGATTGCTTGGCTCAAGCCAATTCAAACGCATCATATAATGTCATTTTCCATTATGAATTTTGTCCTAGGTTGTTTTTTTGGATTTTCACCAAAATTGAATCACATGACCCACAGACCGTGCTGACCAAAAGTTATGGAATTAAAGTGGATTAGATGAACCATTTTGATTAATTTGCAAACAAATTTAACATAGAGCTTGCAAAAATTTACTTGATATGTTATCTTTGGAACGCATTTACGTATTCACACTTACCTTAATGTGTGTTATCACAACCATGGTCTAATGATGAAGGAAGCGACGTGTGCTTCTAGATGCAATTTATGACTGATTTACAAATTACCTGGTTCTGTGATACATCAGCCTTCCTGGATCCAAAATAACTTCATCCCACACCACAGATGTTGGCTTTTTTGGCACCAAGTCAAATGTTTTTCAGTCTCATGTTCTTGCACTGTTTAGGCGCGCTGCTTTATGATTGGTTCAAATACCGTCCTAGGGGGAAATACGGGTTGTAAAGTGATTTTTAGAAATCATACATGTCCAAATCCCAATTTCGATATGATTTTAATCAATTGCACAGCCCTACCTATTACCATTCACTGTCATTATATGAATCACCATACATCATGGATTGAGTTAAAAAATCTTCTATAATGTTTCACTGAAGAAAAATCACCTACATCATACATGACCTGTGAGTGAGTAAACCAACAGGAGATTTTCATTTTTGTATGAACTAAACCTTTAACATGTTTTTGCATTACTTATTTTGTCCACAAGATGTCAACACTGAACCATTCTTTCACTTGAAAAAGAAGCGAAAAAAAACAAAATACTGAACTAGGCAAATAGGTTTGTGTTGGCAAATGCATGTTTAAGGGCATTACAAGATATCTACAAATCTCACAAAGGCATTAACCTTTAATATGTAATGAAAATGCTCATTGAAGAGCCTATGACTGGGTACATGCTTTAGTCTCTATTAGGGTCGGAGTTTCTCAAATGTTTTATTGCATATGTTTGAGAGCGCAGAGGAAACTTCTTGGCTATTTCTGTGCAGACTGAACAGTGGTCCTCTTCAAGACTTCAGTGCAGATGTTGGGAACCGCACCACTATCAGAATGAGCTACCCTGAAAGCTGCCCGAAGGTCTGGGAAGATACGGATCCAGACCTCAAATATGTGGCTGTGATATTCAAGTCTGTAGACTTCCACTGGCTTCGTGCAATGATCAGCAGGACACCAGTTGTGAGTGCTCATTAAAATTGATTGATTTATACCAAAAGAGATGATTCTGAGACTTGTTTAGTGCTGTGTGCATCAATATCAAATGCAACATCGTCTTTCAGTCGCTGTGGGACAGGCTGTTTTTCTGGCAGAACGTGCCAATGAGCGTTCCAGTCAAGACCTCCCAGTTTCATCTCCTGAATCCCCAGATTATCCGTGAGATGGCGTTGGATCTGCTTAATTATCCCGAGCCTAAAAAGCGGCTCTGGAGCTGGGACCAGGTCAGTTCCTTTTTGCTCTGTTTTATTGGCTAAAGCCCCGGTCAGATCTCACGATTTTTATTGTCTGTTACGAAAGTCACTGTCAGATTATGCAATTTATTTATTTATTTATTTATTTATTCTCCTTGATAAAATCTTGACTTGTCATGAGTAACACATGTGCCGGACTACACATTCCTTCACGATTAGTCATCCCGTGACATCTACATTGATAATAACTACAATATGTAAGGGCATTAGTTACCATGGATGGGATCAAGCTTATGATTCCTTTTTAATATTAAGATACTTTCTTTGAAATCTAAAGAAAATTTTTCTGCCATGGGTTTCTTATTAAACACTACGTCTGAACTTCCCGCAAATGAGCTGAGAAAATGAGAGCATATAAGCAGCAGCAAGGGAAAATCAGATGCTTAAGACATAAAATAATGTTGATAAAATAGTGACATAAAAAATTAGCAAATATATACCTGAGATTTGTGATACAATCACATTGAACCATTTGTTAAATCCTTATTTTTTAATAGTTAAAAATAATAGTCAAATTAATTGAGTAGTGGAGGGGCATAAACGTCAGTGTTGCTAACTATTTCCAATGAAAAGAAGCTAAATGTTGCCAGATGATGTCACACACTAATTTGTATATCAATGACATCATCACTTAGTATCTGACAAGTGTAAAGCCTGGTTTATACTGCTGCGTCAAGTGACCGGCGTAACCAACGGTGCATGCAACGCGCGGAGCTGTGCATTTATACTTCTGCGCGCTGTCTCTGTTGGCCTGCATTAACACTTCCAAAACGCTAGTTGGCAGTGAGGTGTTAATGTGTCTCTGTGTCGAGTTTCTTCGCTGGTGTTTTGTTTCTAGGTTCTTTCTGAATGCTCATTTTGAGGCAGGAACTGGCGAGCATGCAACAACTTTAACTATGAGGTAAACGCTAAACTTTCCATCCGGAGCTCCTTCAAGGGACTCCACACTTGTAAACAATCGCTCCAGCGGGCTCACGCGGCTCTCGGTCCCGCCCTCACTCGTCAGTGCTACCAAGCCAACCAATCACAGAGCTTGCGCTACATGTCGTTAAAAAAATAAATTTTTTGAGAGGTGCACATCAGCTACAGCCACGGCGTAGGGCTATGCGTCGACGCTTGACGCTGAAGTATAAATCAGCCTTAAGCCCATCATGTCTCTACACTCTGAGGCGCCGTGTATTATAATACATTATATTAAAACATTACATCCAGATGCACAGTAAATAGGTTCTTACTAACATATTACTTTGCGTGAGGATGTCATTGCATAATCACATCTCAAAATTACATCTTCATGTTGTTTACAAATAATTGTTTTCTCAAATTGACTGGCCATCTCAGCAAAAACATTATTTGAAATGTGTCCATTAAGATTTGTATGAAAAATATAGTTGACTATTTGCAAAAGTAAAACAAACACTTATTTTGAAAAATAACACTGATAATGAACAGTTACATTATTTTAAACAATCACAGCTTGTGTACTTACTCTTTTTTTTTTACTTGTGAGATTTACACATTTGTGAAAGTGACAACACATGTAAAAGTATACAAAAAGTGACAACACATTTGTGAAAGTATATTGATGCAAGTGCTCATTTTGGGATCACATCTTGGTTTTGTTCTGTTGATATGTAATTTCAAATATTTGTAGTTTGGAACAGATGGAAATATGATTGATATTAGCATGACTACTATGGCGACGGCTTAAATGGAGCAGTGCTTATATCTAGTGAAAAAAGAAAAAGACAGCTGGGAAACATCCTGCTTTGTATTTTTGTAGGAAACAGTTTAGATTTGTTTAGGGTAAGAGGTGTGTGAGTTATTGCCTATGACTGGAATATCGAAAACAAAACCAACTTATCTCCGCTCCTTTAGCGCCCCTCACAGAGCTTGATCAACGCTGGCATTTCACTTGGGTTTTAGGAATTCCACCGCCCTGTCCAAGCTTTAAGGATACCAGGTGTCAGATTTGCACAATCCATATGCACAACGCTTAGGCCTGCTTCCCTCGCTTAAAAGCTTGACAGAGCCCCTACATAGGCATAGCCCTACACCATGGCCGTCGGCGTCGCTGACGTGCACCTCTCAAAAAATGTAACTACACGTCGCAACGACGCGTAGCGCAAGCTCTGTGATTGGTTGGCTTGGAAGCGCTGACGAGTCTGGGAGGGACCGAGAGCCGCGCGAATGGTTCGAGCCCGATGGAGTGATTGTTTACAAGTGTGAAGTAGCTCCGGATGGAAAGTTTTGTTTTGTGTTTACCTCATAGTTAAAGTTGTTGCACGTCCGCCGGTTCCTGCCTCAAAATGAGCGACTTTGAGCCACTTGTACATTCAGGAAGTGTTCAGGAAAAGCAAAACACCAGCGAAGAAACTCAACACAGAGGAGCATTAACACCTCACTGCCAACTAGCGTTTCGGAAGTGTTAATGCAGACCAACAGAGACAGCGCGCAGAAGTATAAATGCACAGCTACGCGCGTTGCATGCGCCGTGGGTTACGCTGGTAACTTGACGCGGAAGTATAAACCAGGCTTTAGCCATGATTGGTGGGTGTCGGTTTTTGGGTGTGGCTTAGCAAAAGGTCAATTGAATCTTGTCACGACACCCATTTGTCGTTTGCGAATCCCTACGACACCCTACGTCAAGGAAATTGTGTCAAAATCGTGACCGGGGCTTAAGAGAGACATTTTAATTCATTTCTCACCTTTGTTTTTTCTTTCCAGAACATCCCTACATTAGGGCTTACAGCTCTCAATCTGGCAACATACATATGTGACGAGGTGAGCCTAGCAGGCTTTGGCTATAACCTCAGCCAGAAAGAGGCTCCTCTTCATTACTATGACAGCGTTCCCATGACAACCATTTTAAAGGAAGCCATGCACAATGTACAGAAAGAGACTGTTTTTCTCAAACGTTTGGTAGCCTCAGGCAGTATTACGGACCTCACAGGTGGGATACACTGCAGCTTCTGTTGAAACCAAATGGCCCCTGCATTACCAAACACCATTGTGGGCCAGATTTTCACAGGAGCCTGAAAGGAATGAAGTTTTATAGTGAAACACTGCTAATGCAGCACTACTGAGTATTTTACTAACCCTGAAACTGTGATAATGCTGTGGTCTTAATCAAATTAAATCAAGTTTTAATGTGAGTTTTAAAGGGGTAGTTCACCTAAAATGAATGTGTACTCAGTATTAACTCTGCCTCAAGTGGTTCCAAACCTTTATGAGTTTCTTATATCTACTGAACATAAATGAAGTACTAAATATTAAAGTATGTTGGTTATGGGTAGCCATTTACATCCATAGTAAATAACGAAACAAAGTAGAACAGACCGAGGGTGAGTAAAGGATGACCGAATATTCATTATTGGGTGAACTATCTAATTTAAGTCTTTAGTTTTAAAATGTTCTTTGCCAAATCAACAATTTTAATAAAAACCTACTGCTTTTTAATATCTCAACATGCCAAATATAGCAATTTGTCAATGACAATAATGCAATAAGTCACTGCAATATGTGTATCGTCTCAACAGATAGAGCAGTTATTGTTAAACACACTGAAGAGCTAAATAATTATGCTGTGTCCTTCATGTGAGGTGCAACAAGCTTCCCCACGCTACATTTGGCATGTATGAAATAGCTGAGAACTTTGATGTATAATTTGTGTTGTGCATCCAGACTGATAACACTCGGATTTATTCAAGATGTTCCTAAAGAAATGTCTGTGATGGGCTTAAACTGTCAGAACTAAACTGACAATGCTTCTTGAGGAGTTGTGAAAATCTTACAAAGGATAGTTTTCACAAAGCAGTTTTATAAAAAGCCACACATTAGCATTTTACTGATATTTAAGACAAGGCACAGTGTTACTTCTCGCAATAATCTTGCTCTTAATGGATTTAAAGTATTAGTGTCCTTTTATTCAGTTGTGTGCAAATAAATGCAATAAAAAAATAACGAAAAACTGTGTGTGTGTATTCACTTTAATTGTGGGCTACTGCCGGTATTACTGGTCATCAAGCATTCTACTGTAGGGGAACCAACAGCTTTAACCCAAAAATGAGCAGTCTGTCTGATGATGAAGAGCCACAGATTCGTTTAAAAGGAAAGTTTACTGAAGATAATTTGCTGTTTCGTCAGCAGAAGCCAGCTTCAATACTTGAAAAACGTTTGTGTGCTGCTCTGGTTACAATCTTAAAACATCAACGATTATACTCGCATAATGTTATCAACTGCGTCATACATATAGGTGTTTTTACTTGACTGGTTGAAACCCAGATAGACTAAGAATAATTTCCATTTGTGTGTGTGCGTTGCATTCTTAAAGATATCTCAAGAATATAAATGTCAGCCCTGACATGTGAAATGTTCCACAAACACACAGTACAATCTGTTTCTTACTCAAGACTTGAGTGTACTCTTAGCCAAACTGATTAAAAACGGGTACAATCTACATTCAAACTGGCAGCTTAAATACAAAGGAATTAACTTTGAAAGGTTTAACCCATAAAAATGGCAAATAACTCAGGAAACAGTTGTCCAGGTCCACTCAAGAGGTCTCCATGATCTCTAACCTGACTGGGTAGATCCCAAGAAAACAAATCATTTGGCATACAGAAAAGCAATCACACACATATTATTGCAGTTTTACTCTAAAGTGGAATGACACTAAGGTCATCATATAGTCTAGGCTTTTAAACATTCAACTTTATTAATAATTACAAAGACATAAGAAAGGATATGTGTTACTCCATCCTGGAGAGGACATCCATCAGAATATTCACAACCTTCACCACTTTGATCATGTTTAGGTTTTGTCTGCTGATGATGTATCAAACTGTTTCTGTGCTTTAATTAACCCTCCCAAGGGTTTTTGAATCTTGATGTTTGGTGACTTTTTCCTAAAATGTCCCCAACATTAGGAAAAAAATGAATTTCTGTTGTAATAATTTCATGAAGGCTTTAGATGGTAAGATTACAGCAGTTGAACTGTCAGCTATAAAACCATTTTTACACCACAACCACTGGCACACACTCGCTACAATCCGAACCTGCTGCTTTCACTTTTAGGAGTAGGCTATTTTAAGCTATTTTTTAACAAGTGACTCAAAATAGCTGTGGTTGCAGGCTTCAGCTCAGATTTTTAATTGTTGGTAATTTAGGAAACAATAAATTCCAATAGTGCTATAATTGTTGTCACTTTTACAAATGTGTTAATTTCACAAGTTAAAAAGAGTAAGTGCACAAGTTGTGACTGTTTAAAAGAACGTGACTCTTCATTATCAGTGTTATATTTAAAAATAAAAAACAATTCTTATCAAAAAGTGTTTGCATTTTAGTTATATATACATAAAAATCTAAATGGACATATTTCAAATAATGTTTTTGCTGAGATGGCCAGTCAATTTGAGATAACATTAATTATTTTGTATACTACATAAAGATGTAGTTTTGAGTTGAGATTAAGCAATGGCATCATCACGCAAAAAAAATATGTTAATTAGGACCTATTTATTGTGCATCTAGATGTAATGTTTTAAAATAATATAATACACGGCGCCTCAGAGAGTACAGACATGACTATGGAAGGCTTTCTGTATTTTCAATATCGGAATTTTTTATTACATTTTTTTATTGTGTTTTAACTATACAAACATTAACTATAACAAAGGATGACATCAAGTACAATAATAAACGAGTAAAATGAATAATAATAATAAATAATAATAAAATATCATAATAAAAAACAGAGTACAGAGGCAAATTATCAAATAAAATTATATTTACAAAGTCCTTATAAAATATCAGTTTTTTTTTGTATTTTGTAAAGTAGTAATTAAACAATTTAAGTCACAAAGAAAATTTTGCAACTAAGGTAATGGTGAAGAAAATTTACATTTGTGAATATAATATTTACCCAATAAAATAAATAAATTGCCTTTAAATTCGGTTATGTCTGTCATGAGAAAAGAAACAAATTATATCACACATGGAAAAATCAATGTTAAACTTACATTTTGAAAAATAAATCAGACCAAAACACTTTAACATGTGGGCAAAATCTGATTAATCGATTCGATGTTTGAGTTAAAGAAGACACAATTTGATTACCGAATTTAGATTTAGAATTTAGATAGCATTTTTGGGGTAGATATTGTGCAACGCTTTTAAATGTAATTCTTTATCTTTGTTGGGAACACAACATTCATATGATAAGAGCCCAGCTTTTTAAAATTAATTTTATCTATTAGAGAAATCCAAACAAGTTTTCTGACTGTGGAAGGCTTACGCTTGTCAGATACTACATAATGATGTCACTGATATGCAAATTAGTGCGTGACGTCATCTGACAACATTTAACTACATTTCGGGCAGGCTTTAGCTACTTTTCATTGGAAATAGTTAGCAACACTGTTTTCGTTGTCCATCAAGTACATTATGTCGGGCACAGTGAATGGCTGATAAAGTAAAGGAGGACAGGCTTAATCTTCACTACATGCGATTTCAGCTGAGTTAGCCTATAATTCCTATTAATGCCATTGGTGTAAGAGTGATTTTCAAGAATTTTTTACTGTTTTTACTTTTTTTTTCCCACTGTTTTTGTGGTTTTACATTCATTTTAGTGGCAGTGGCCAGGTGGAGAGCACCTGAGGAACAACCTTAAACCATGCAACGAAAGTAAGCAAGCAGTAAAGGGCTAGTTTAGTCAAAAATAAAGTTCTGTTAATTACCTTTTTTCCAATCCTTGAGATTTATTTTTGCTTCACTAAAGTGTTCTTGGAGCTTCATATGATTACAACTGTGGATATTCAACATCTCAGGACTCTTGCTGTCTATGGGGGATGAGTGACCTCTCAGATTTAGTCTAAAATATCTTAATTTGTGTTCTGAAGATGAACAGATGAAGGTCTTAGGTGATTGAAGTGACGTCAAGGTGAGTAATTAATAACAAACTTTCCATTTTTTTGGGGTGAACTAATCTTTTCAATCAGCCAGACACTGAATTAAATTAAAACATTTAATTATTTTGTGAAGTCTCTCACATGCACTCCATATTTTACAAACTCATCAATCAATTTGGGTGGCGCAGTGGGTAGCGATCTTGCAGGTTCGAGCCTCGGCTGGATCAGTGGCATTAGTGTGTGGAGTTTGCATGTTCTCCTCGCGTTTGCATGGGTTTCCTCCAGGTAATCCGGTTTCCCCCACAAGTCCAAAGACATGCGGTACAGGTGAATTGGGTAAGCTAAATTGTCTGTAGTGTATGAGTGTGAATGATAATGTATGGGTGTTTCCCAAAGATGGGTTGCAGCCGGAAAAGCATCCGCTGCGTAAAACATATGCTGGATAAGTTGGCGGTTCATTCCGCTGTGGCAACCCCTGATAAATAGAGGGAGTCGGGACTATTTCATACTGAAATGACACTCATAAATTACAAATGACCTGCTTTCAGGAGTTCACACTTAACTGATGATTGATATTAAAACATGTTTGGCATTTGAAGGGCGAGAGGGGAGTTTGAGCTCTCCTGTGGTAGGTCTTGCTTGTAAATATGTTAGGAATAGCTAAGAGATATAGCTGGCTAAGAGTTTCTCTTATGATGTCACTTTGAATTAGTAAATTTATTGTGTGTCTTTGGATGGTGAGAGGAACCCGGGGAAAACCCACATGAGCACCGGGAGAACATGCAAACTCCACTGTGAGGCAACAATGCTAACCACTGGGCGCCTTGCTAGCCTATCAGGAGAAGGTGGAGGAGTAGGAGTGGAAGGAGGGATTCTTCAAGACGAAGAAGACTGAAGTGAAAAACTCTGGTTATTTATAGCGAGTTAGTATTCATCTGATTGGCTCAATATGTGAAGCTGATGCGAGACCAGCTGTGATCAATCATAATCATGCGATCCTCTTGAAATTAGTTTAGAAATAAACTGCACTTTGTCATGGTTGCTTTTTGGCTGTAGTATTAATAGACCGCAGTCCTGCATTTAAAAAAGTATGAACCATAACATTGTCCATAATTAGGCCCTGTTTACACTAGTGCGTTTTAGTTTTAACTAACTAACTAACTAACTAACTAACTAACTAACTAACTAACTAACTAACTAACTAACTAACTAACTAACTAACTAACGCAGTTTTAGAATGAAAAAGATCCGCGTCCACACTAGCTTTTTACCCAGCGTTTCTGAACTGCTCTCCGTCCACACCAAAACGCTGAAAACGCACATCACGTGACACACACACTCTCGGGCAAGCGCTGCAGCATTTCTACACAGATGAGAGCTGGTCGGTCTGCTCATCAAGCATCTCCCGCTGGATCTAATCTCACTATATTTGCTAAACGTGATATTTAATTAATCTTGTTGTCTATATGTAACGGCATATTCCCCAACTTTGGTCTTTTGAATGGATTACTTGTTCACAGGTAACGTATTTTGGCTGAGTGCAAAGATAAGTTAATAATTAATGTAACCACGTACATTGTAAACGTGTATAAACTTATTGTGCGTTATACTTTCATAATGGCTATTATTGATTATTAAAACTGACATTCAGCAAAGCAGAGGATACGTTTCGTATTTTCAATTAAAACGAAAGGATTCAGTGATGTTATATAGGCTCTGTTTTATTATAAATATGCCTACAGTGAAGATCCCGCATGACGTCTCAGCATTTCTGCTCTCTGTTAAGTTGTTAATATCAAAATGAAAATAGGCAGTTCCTTAAATCATGTTTTCATTTTATTGTTGAGAAAGTGAGACAGCGTAGCCAGGATGATGTGAATAACGTTATAAAGTACACTGTTCCCTTTGAAGATTTACCGGATTTGTCCTCGAGGGTCTGTTTTCCATGTCAAACTTGCAAAGTCTGAACTTACAGGGAGAGGATGCGAGACTGAACTGTGTGTGCAAGCTACTTAATATTGAGGAAAAGCCCCAATCAGATGTCTGCAGCCTTGC